TACTGAAGCCCTATGTTCCACTAGGAACCCAAGGGACTAATAATAATAATAATCTGAATAAGTTCAGTAGTGTTCATCTGGTAATCAGCTTCGCAATGGAAGAGAAGAAAAATGACACTATCTCATTTCTTAATGTTCTTTTGGTAAGACAGTTAGACGGAACCCTGAAATCAAGTGTATATAGAAAGCCAATATCAACAGGTCAATACAGGCGCTTCTTTAGTGCCGTACCCCTCCAATACAAAAGGAACCTAGTGAAATGCTTAGCATACCGTGCCACATCTATTTACTCAGATGATGCTATAAATGAAGAGTGCGCCAGCATCCATGATCTGCATAGTAGGAATGGCCACTCAGACAGGTTTGTAACTAAGCAAAATTAAGACAAGAACACCAACAGTTCCTAAGAAGCAAATCTTCTTGAAGCTGGAATTTAAGAGTAACATTGCCAGTTAGATCATCACATAACACATAAAAAGAGTCTTGCAAAAAGTATTCCCAGCCGCTAAATTATGTCCCGCCTTCCACAACAGCCCGATTCTAGGTACAAGAAATAAAGACAAACTGTCTTATTCTGCCACTTCTATATGCATTTATCAATTCATCTGCTCCTGTTGTGCTAGTTACGTTGGGCGTACAATGAGGAAGTTCCATCGTCGAATTTCCAAGCACCAACCGTCATGGTTGAGCAAGGGACAAATTAGAATTATAAAGAGCTCCATACTTGCACGTCTATTTGACACTGGACATTCAGTGGATGCTAGTAAAGCTTTGAAAATCACTCATCAGATTCGAATTAATTTACCACATGGATTACGCACTCGGTTACTTCACATAGCAGAGGCGATTGCAATCCACCTTTACAAACCTAGCCTTTGTATCCAAAAACAGTTTGTTCGATCACTTTCATTACCGTGGCCGTCAACAAGATGTAACTTCTAGGTTTACTTTGTACGCCTCTTCCCCTTCTTGTTTCTACCAATATTCGTTTGTTTTCTTATTATTGCGTAAACGCTTATTGTGAATGCCTGAACACTCTTCAAAAGTAACTCCATTTACCTAAGAATAGCCTGCCTCATATTTCCGATTTTAGTAACTCCATTGTTTCCGAAACATCACCATGTGATTGATAATTTAATTAGACTGTAAAACTATATATTAGTGTAGAGCCTAAGATGAAGACCTAATTGAAAAGGAATATATTTCTTTGCTCAATCAGTCTTTTTTCTAAAATAATATACGCTTAACATATAAGGAGAAAAAGACAACTGTCTGTCATTCTTAGATATATTCCCAAGTCGTAGGAATAGCAGCCTAATAAAACGATCGATTTAAAGGAAATCCATTTGGACAGGTCAGTACTTAAGTTTCCATATTTTTTGCCCAACTCAATACAAATGAGTTTTGGTAACTTGCTTATTTAAAAGAACCCAGGTTATTTGTGTGGAAGACTCAATGGATGGGTGATGTCAAAATACTAACTGAAATATTAGTGGAAAATGGATATCCATTGAAGTTTATAAACCGTTGCAAAAATCACTCAGTGTTGAAACTTAGTCTGTACTTTGTTTCGAGGAAATGCGTTTGTATCGCATTACCACACAGAAGAGAATCTAACAGAGTAATATTAAAACGAAGGTTAAGGTCTGCCATTTGCAAAGGATGCTACACTACTAAGCTTATGGTAGTTGAGAAGACCTAATACCTACTGCAAAATGGACCTCAACGCTCTATAAACGATTGCGTCACACCCCATTGCGTTTATTTATTTACACGTGTGCAGACACACGTTCATAGGGAGGACTAATCGAGATATGCACTTGAAAGTAGGGAAACATGTGCCAAAATAGCTTCACAATCAGCTGGATTCAAAAACATCGTCGTCCATTTCAAAACATACCACTGATAAAGGTCACAGGATTGATATTAAAACAGTCTTTATAGTTTCGTATAGAAACTGTCAGGGGCGTATTCTTGAAGCGCTAACCATAGACAAATTTAATCCCCTGCTGTGTGTACCAAAACAGTTTGCCCCTAAGCTGGGCCTTCCCTGGTAATGCTTACTTTATCGTATTACCAAGGTTTTTTTAAAATTGTATCATCTTTTCCTTTCATTCTCTTTTTTATTATTGAATTCCTTTATGTCATAGTTGTCCTTTCCCCACTTCCTGTTTCCGTATGTAATGCCTTAACAAGTAAATGCGTGATGTTTGTTTGAAATGTATGGCGCAAATACATGACATTTTTCAGGTGATCTACTTCTAGTTATGTTATACAAATTCATACAAGCGACCAGTTGTTTCAGAATATCCTTTTACTAACTCAAGTGTTACTGCCTCGAACGTAAATATCAGTTTATGAATAGAAGTTAAGTGACTAAAACTAAGCATCAAAGTCAATGAGCTAGGTATGGAGTTTCATTGTATGCTTTTTACGGCATAGGAGTTTACAGTTTGCTTGTGAACCAGAAATCAGTCAGTCAGTAGATCCTCTTGGACACTTGCAGAAACAGGCAGAACTGGTAAATACGTTGAAACGATCACATACATTGGCATTCCATGCAATATTATCGGCAAACTTTCTATCAGCTCTTAAATATGAAAATAAGTTCTAGGTCACTGAGCGATTCGCTAGTAATCGTTATTCCTGCCCCATTCTTTTACAGCGTATTGCCTGATGTATGGTACACGTTATGCTTGCTGAATCACGTGTGTCTAAGTGAAGTGAATGAATGCTCCTCGCATTGAAAATAATGGCCGGTAGACGTAAACATGTGGTCAGTTCACCAATAGGTTATTCTTCATATATTCAGTTTGGCTTTGCTGGAAACTAATAGTACGATCTAAGTAAGTCAGAGGTGTCAAAGTTGTAAGATGGCCAAAATAACTCGGCTTCCCAATCTAGTTTATGTTTGAATATGTATCGTCTTAGCATTTTCACCCATACAGGCATCTACAAAATGTTTTATTAAGGACTGCTTTGTTGTGCTGTACATTTTCTTGCGGTAAGCATTAGTTATAGATATTGATTAAGAACTGAGTAATCTCATCAGCGGGTAATCATGAATGAAGCAATGAGAAATCAGCATAAAGCATGTTAAAATACTTCATTAGGTTTTGAATAAAAAGTATCAGTAGGTCACAAAATAGTAGGTAAAAAATGAAATTCCTTTTTCGAAATGACGATTGAATGCATACATATGACAATTCCATAGATCTCAGTCACCAGAGCTGCATCATACTAGTGTGACTGAAACGAATAGTAAGTGGCTTCAAAGTTACTCAGGATTAGTTAGATGAGTGTCGATATGCCCTCTTCTTAAACCAACCTTAAGCAGCACTCTCAATCTACTCAAAAATTTTATGTTCACAAGAGATAGACAAAATCAGCGTGGAACACTGGACACAAGTACACTGAATCAAATTCCTACACTTCATAGTAGCATACAGAAAACAAGTGGATAGAAAATGTCAGAACAAACTAGACAAAGGTGTAAGGGAAGAGAGGGAATCCAAAAACTAAGGTTAGTGGAAATATTCAAGCCTTAGAAGACATCGAAAAATGAGTTGATCTGCGTCACTGTGACCGATTTTCATCCATGTCACAAACAGCCCTCAACCCTGGATACTTATCATCCCAGGGACCTCAACCAGGTACTCTATACCTCCCCATGTGGCTGAGACTAACAGTTAGGAACTTCATGTATTTGTCCCACATCTTGGTCTGTCTGTTTTTAATCCTATTCCAACCTAATCCAACTTCCTCAGCACAGCATATAAAAGAAGAAGGTAGTCGCTTAGCATGCGCAGCACATATCCAAGCCGTTTCAGTCGATAAAGGTTGGAAATAACAACAGGTTACTTAGTCTATGTACGTATTCACATTTCAATTTTTATTTTCTAAAAAATAAATTTTGACTTGACTCCTGGACAAGTTTGTCTGATGAGTGAAGTCAGTTTCAATAAACTTTTAGTCCTGAACGATACATTTGGCTCCAAAAAAATCAATGTCATTCACTCTTTAATTTCTAAATAAAATAAATCATATAAAACTGACATAGTTATTGTTTTTGTTACTATAATAGGTTCGACTGACTTATATCGATTAACAATTATGCAAGGTAAAAATGTTTATAAAGAGTCGATTGTATAAAACAGAAACTTGCTTACTTTACTATACAATTATGATTTATGACTTTCAGAAGTAGAAGCGTGTTTCCAAGTTCAGAGATATGATATGCTGCATGAATAATTTAGTCGCAACATCGTTGACTTCAAAACTAGTTGGCATGGATTCAAATCTTTAAGGTAACATCAGTTCCCTGGGGGTCGCGAATGCACTTTACTGACGAATTCCAACCAGCCTTAAACGTAGGCTCAGAGTTTCCAGTCCATCACTTCCAACCACTTCACATTGAACAAAGTGCATGTCGACGATGAGTCTCCTCACTTGATGAGGACATTCGGAAACGATCAATGGAATTTAGCCAACTAGAAACTGGTTACTCTCCGGTGACTAGTTAATTTACATGTGATAGCCGTTACTTCTGCAAAAATCAGTTTCATGTTTCAAAAATGTGTTATCTCAATTAGCCAAAAGTTAGGAATAGATTACTAGGTAAAGAAAGTAAGTCAGCTAATAAGGAACTTAATTGACATCCGTTGAGCTGGCGTGGACATATGCCACCATCTACTCCAGAAACTTGTTAAATAGGAGTGAAATCTGTCTAAAAACGTTTTACACACCTGTTATGGTTTGAGTCCAATGAAATTCTTGCAATGAATAAGTCAGTCGTGTTGAAAAGTTCTGGTAATGAGGCAGTGAATTTAATGTTCAGTTCATACTCATTTGTCTTTGCTGATGCCAATAAGCTCAAAGAATGATGTATTTTTTACCAGTTGTTCATATCAAGTAAATTTAACAACTGGATAGATCATATTGAAAACTCTTCTAAAATTCATAAAAAATAAAGATTGAAACAGAAAATTCTGCTTACCTACCAACGACTGTTGGCTCCAAATCGACAAACACAGTTCGTGGTACAAATTTCCCATGACATGTTTCCATATAAAATGTTTTAAATGAATTATCAGTTGGAAAAAATCCATCAATCATAAGTCCATCAGGTTGAATTCCATGTTCCATACCAAATAACTCCCAACAAGCATTGCCAATTTGTATTCCAGCTTGTCCAACGTGTATACAAACAACTTCACGATCACTCTGGAGTGACTGATATGTTGCATAACAAAAAAAAGGCAAAAGTATTTTATAATGATATTTGTTAGATTACATGGTTTGAATTGGATTACCCTATTTTATCAACACCAAATCGTTTCTTATATGCTTGTGAATAAATAACAGCTGTGTAACTATGATTCATTGGTCTAGGTAGCTGACTTCTAATTAATGAGCCATAGGTTGGAACCCCACTTTATCTGTCGAGGTTTTGGTAAATAGATGATATCGTCAGCGTTTATGAAATAGGTCTCATTACCAAGGGGTTGAACTTGTGCATGATTTTATAATCGTATTTAAACCAAATTTCAAGTATTAGATAGACAAGATGAGTTACAATAATTTTATGCTACTCACATCAATAAGTGAAATTACTTCCTAGGAGCAGTAACTTCAGATCTAGCACTTGTTAATTATCAGTCTTGGAACTGGCTACAATTGGTGATTACATATACATTAAAATCTATTTTAATCTCTTAAAATATATCTGGTTGGTGAATTTCCATTGGTTTTTATATTTTCTTTTTAAAATTAGGCATCTCCCAAATTAGTTTTACTCCCCCCTTGTTTAACACTATCCTTTATCGTTCATGGAAGAAAGACTGGATGTATTGAAGAGAGGAGACTCAGAAACATTGGTTTCCAGTTAGTCGAAGATTGGGTACAATAAACTTCAAGGAGAAGTATTATTTCTTTGATTTCCAGAAAGTAAAGTATTCCTCCTACAGAAGCTCATCAGACTACCATAATTTGTTGAATACTCAGTGTAAATTTATCTAACTTTCTTGACGACTACTACATGTACCAATATCACATTATTATGGAGACTAGCTTTGTTTATATACACTGGATAGCGAGCAAATTGATTAATTACACCTTTTCGAATTCTGTGGTGTTTGTCTTTTAGTTTACCTGTCGTTGTTGCGTGTTCAGTTGGTGTTTGTTGGTTAGGATAAGGCCTGTAACATTCTGATCGAGAACAGGTGATATCTGCTCGTGTTATCTGATTCACGTTGGAACGCTTTTGGTACGGATACCGTTGCGCATACAGTAACCACATCGGTAGTCACTGAAAAAAGTGGTGAGACCGACGTCTTATTAAACAAACTAAGGATCCGTATCTCATAATTTTTGTATATTATGTTATCTGTGAAGCACATTTTGAACTCATTTCACAAACTGTCATTCCACTCGAACCCGCAGTTTTTCGGTGAGTAATCTACTTGCATGTGCACTTTATTTGGATACATATAAAAAAATTTTCCCTATTGGTTTTACTTTACATTTCCAAGATTCTTATCATGTCTAACAGTAGTGTTAGTTTAGAGCCGGGATCCATCAGTGCATTCTTTTCAAATATTCCATCGTTCACTCTCAGAATTCCTCAGTTGTAGTTTGCCTGGTTAGAAAACTACTTTGTCGCAAACAGGACCACCTCACAGAATGTGGAATTCAGTCTTCTTGGAACCATCCTACCAGATGACATTGCTGACCACATCAGTGGTCACTGACTGTATAGTATAATCTGCTTTATACACCTGCCTAAAATGACGAAATATTGATGTCAAGATATAAGAAGTATTTTTCAAAATTAGATTGTCCAAAGGATTGAATGTTAAGTGAACGAGAATTTACAGTCACTTATACAAGTTCAGTTCTACACTATTCATTTCAATCAAAACTGAAAAGCCTATAAAACAATTAACCCAATAATAAATCTATTTTTATTCTAAGCTATTGAAATAATAGCAATTGAATGATTTTAATTTATCCTTAATTCTCAGAATAATGTGGTAATGTGTTTAGCATAACCTAGGTAACTGCTATTGTTTTGGAATCCGTTACAATATAATTCATTCCCAAGTTTTCCTATCCATAACTTTATTATATCTGCTTGAAATATCTTTCATACAACAAAGTAAATGATGATTGAAGTGATAATTTTTTATTTTTTACAATCCACTGGCATTCAAGAGTTTTTCTGTCAAGTATTTACAAATTAGTTAGAGTTTATTATTATCACCTTTTGTGCGGATACTTTTTATTTGGAATCTTCTTATCTATCGAACCTTCTTCATCATATATGACTGTTCTACGTAAATAGTCACAAAGGTTTTGTTTTTCTCATTTAACTGTGCATTAAATCTACATTCGCTTAAGAGTGTTTGTAACAAGCGAAATCAAACAATAAAATGAGAATTCATTTGTCAGTCGGTTGACTGATCTTAGCCACCGTCTTAAAATCTAACTATCCAACTCTGTAGGGTAAAGTGATTTATTTTTTATATATTAGTCTCTTGGGTTCGTTCCTAGTGGAATATAGGGCTTCAGTAGCACGTCTCAATTCCACTCTGTTCTCCGAAATCTTTTGAACCTGGCTCCACGACAGTCCACATTTCCTCATTTCCTCCTCGCACGATCTCCTCCATGTCACCCTCACCTCAGACGCCCAACTCGTCGCTTCCCATGGGGATTCCACTCGAGGGCCTGACGCGTGATGTCCCCAGTCGGCCTTCTAAGTGTATGCCCAATCCATCTCCACTTCCTTCCGGTGCATATTTGTTGAGCGATAGGTTCTTGGTTGGTTAGTTCCCAGAGCTCCTTGTTGCTTATTCTTACTATTCTGGCCATCTGATCTTCAGTATCGAGCCAGCATAAGCAGTTGTTGATGAATGTCTGTAGTTTATTGGAAATCCCTTTCGTAACGCGCCAAGTCTCTGAACCATACAGAAGCACTGACTTGAGTGAATCGGTGTTGAAAATCCAGATCTTGTTCCACATGCTGAGTGCAGAAGATCTCCACACTGGTTTCAGGCTGATGAACGCCTGTCTTGCTTTCCTGATTCTGACTTTGACATCCTCGTCTGTGCCACCTGTAGTTGAAACAGTGCTTCCTAGATAGGTGAAGGAGGTTACTTCCTTTAAGTTTCTCCCGTTGATGGTGACTGGAGTTTGTTGGTGCGGTATGAGGGTAAAGTGATATGAATACTTTTCTCTTGAACTGAGTATACAATGTGCTATGACGGGAGTTGATGTCTAAAACGGTTTATAAACTTCTGTAGATATTAGTTTTCTACAATGAATCACAGATCCACACACCTCATATACTTTGAAGTTATATAAAAATACTAAACCTGTACTCAATTGACGACAATATATTGATCCATATTTTGGAATCTCAATTTAGACTGATTTTAGACTACATTCATTATTAACCCCCAGTATTTAATAATGAAATTTAACAGAATCTTAATTCTGGAAATCGATGCTTTTCATTTATGAAACTGATTATACTCAGAGTAGTATCTTAGTCATAGTTTCAGAATTCCGAAACCCTGTTCATTGGTAAGACAAGAAGGGTGAAATAAGTGTCTGTTATATTTGGTCATAGATTCGTAAAACCACGTATTCTAGGACAAAGAAATTCATTACATCTAAGTGAAATTATCATGATAACGACTTATTAGTTGAAGAATATCATGAGTTAATTCAATAGGACCCATAAAAATTTGACTGAACTATACATTTATTTAAAATAAGCAAAGAATGTATAAAAAGCAGGATTTAATGAATTCATAAACTTCAGTAGTATTTGAATGCATACTTGAGTATATATACCACAAGACAATGTAAGAGAACATACAAAGAAACACCTATAAAGTAAACTGAGAAATCGATTTCTGCTTAACAACATAGAAATGAACAAATTTTATAGGCTAAGTGGCAATGCAAAACGTAGGAGTCGATTTTAAAACTGAATAGGTTAAAGATAGATTACATAATTAATTATGAGTTTGGTATTCATCATGGAGTGATATCAGTTGGAGAAACGCTGATGTTCATTGTTGACTCGCTTCAAGAAGTGATTCTCAAAGTTCTGATAAGAAGTTGTGAATGGTGGGGACAACCAAGTTGAATATGAAGACAGCTACTCAACGATGCCATTGGATAAAGATTGAGCTACACCGTAAACTAATAGAAGTAGGAAATGTGGACCACTGGATTCCAACACAGTAGCGAAGTGATAACATACTGGTTGCGGAACCTAAGGGTCTTGCTTTCCATCCCTGACGGGGTCATGGGTGCTCACTGCTGAGAAGTCTTGTACTAGGGCATAAAAGCTGTTCAGTGCTACCCGGTTCCTAATGTTTCCCCAACTGATCTGAGTCCTTGATGAATACCAAATTGAAATCAGCAAATAATCCCCCACAATCCTACAAACTGAATTATGAGTTTGGTTATTAGTACAGTCTAAAGAATTATGTGGATTTCAGGTTAGAAAATAGTGATAATATTAACAATAATTTGCCTTGTTCTAATAATAGTAATGTTAACATTGGGGATGAGAACTTAATTCGGAACAAGATAGTTACTAGTCCCTTAAGAAGACGTCAATCGAAAAGTAGGGGTATATTGAGATGAATAATTATGATACTAATGATAAAGGTGGCAATAAGAATAAGGTTAACTAAAACAAGTCCGGAACGGAAAACAAAAATATAACATGGGGGTAATAATTGAGGGCAACGATCTAGAAAGTAAAGTTGAATATGATTAGACGACATTGTAACTCCAACCACGGTAGATTCAATTTGATTAACATTTCCTCCTGAATACAGAGGTATGGTTTAACAAATTGAATCACACAGCTTCCTATAATCGTAAACCACTTTTGATTCAGCTATCTACTGACAACCGTAAAGGAATTACAAGTCTTAATATCATGCCCATATTTCATAAGGTGTTTTGTTATCGAATTCCTAAAGGGTTCACTTTTTGGCACATTATAGCTATTTATATAGGTTCTCAACCATTTGGGTAGACAGATGCTTTTCAGTACAACCAGTGTATTTGCTACCACATAGAATGTAAAGCACTTAGATGATGAGTACTACTGAAATCTATGTATTCATTAAATCTTGATTTTTCACACTAGTTGCTTGTTTTAAATTTGTATCGGGAAATAAATGTTTTCATTACGCCAGAATTATTTATTTTGCCAAAGAAATCATCATGTTATCAAGTCATGAAATTATGTAATGTCGATATTTACAAAATTTGTTTTGACAACACTAGTGGGTATTTCCTCAGACAAAAATAAGACAATTATTAACAAAAATGTGATAGTTACTTCAATGTGTACACGCATTCTGATCTGACACATCAATCGATAGTGACCTGTAAGTCGCGACCTAAGAGAAATAGCATTAAAAATGATAGGACTATTTATAAACATATCGCTAGAAGAATTATTTCTATAATTCTTTTCTTATCCATATGTTTATTGACAATGAAAAACTGATTATAGTCATGCGTCATGCTAATCGGAACCTATGACCGAATGTCTAACTTCTAGTTTGATGAGATAACTAGATGGTTAGTAGATAGACAGACATAAGAAAAAAACTTCGCATTACTGTGAAATAGTTGAAGATGCCACCACACTAAGGAGGAATGTATCAAGATGAAGCAAAAAGAAATGGAGAAACTAGTCAGAATTTGTAAAACGTCATCAAGGATAGACAGGAGGAATGAGACAATACTGAAATTCATTATGACATTTAGGATGAAGATTAACCTCGCCTAGTTTACTTGTTCACTAGTTTACTAGCCGGTCCCTAAACCCGGATAAAGAGGGAAGGTTGAGCATACGGCTACCAACCCTACCCAGGAAAATCAATCCAATCGCTAAGGAAACTTCAAAGCACAAGGAAAATATAAAAAATAAAAACAAACTTATTGCTCGCTGGAATCGGATAGGCGAAATTACGCCGGTTGGTGAAAGCCTTTCGGGAAGGCGATTGGCCGATGTTTCTCCTCTCTCTCTGTCTCGCGATGAAAGCTAAAGTAAGAATGGGGACATGAAATGTGCGCACAATGTTTAAATCTGACTGGCAAGGCTGCCCAGATTGTGAAAGAGATGAGAAGGTACGCGATAGAAGTACTTGGAATCTGCGAGGAATCAGCTGATGGAATGGAAGCCTACACTCCAAAATGTTAACTGGAGAGCACAAAGTGAACTGAAGGAAGAAATTACGAAGGACATCTTCACGTCGGTCAGCCATCAGGACAAAATGAGAGACATTGAGCAACATCCCTGAGGAAAGTTGTGTGGAAGAACACTGGAAATTTGTGGAAGCGATATGGAAGGAAACCTGCATAATCGTGTTACGAAGGTAGAAGAAACAAGACAAGGAATGGATCTCGATGGACACATGTAATCTGGTTGAGGAGGGTATGGTGACCGAGTGGTGGGGTTGCGTGCGTGGGTATAATGATACTGAAACTCAATAGACACCTCAACCAAATGCCTTTACGACTAACCTCCCTCAGTACCTTCTGCTTCACTGAGCCGCGGAAAAATCAGAAGACAAAAACGGCCTGTGACTGCAAGAACAGCGACAACTTTTATTAGGCAAATACATGACATATATGTATTTACAAAATTCTCAGAAAGTGAATCCACAAATGAACCAATCCGATTTCTCTTATGAGGTCGAACTTCTCCAATCAGGTTCTCATGTCAGCGCAAGCATACATCTCGACCTGAACATGATCTGATCATGACTTGAAAACAACTCCCCTATTGGCTGCCTTCTTATAGCTACGTATCACCTCCCCCCGTAAGGAGTGTACGACTTCTTTTTATGGTCCTCTTGGAAGGGCTTTGGCCTTCTGCAGATGATAACTAACTCGGGGCTGAAGATTTGCTTCTGTAGGGTAAGAAGTCAACCTCGAAAACCAACAAACGGATTTTCTTACCCTAAATGAAGAACGTCTCCGAGATCATGATTAGATTATAGAAGCCTTTTAGGATCTCTGTAGCTGACAAACCCACAACATCTCACTTTCTATTATTCAAGTGAAAAGATGCAATAGCAAAGGGAAAAAAATCAAACGTTATCTATTAAATAAACTGCAGAAACTGAGAATGTCACTACGCTGGACAAAGTGGTCGCCGTCTTCACATCCGTCTACATGAACTAACAGTGAAGCCTCAGCATAGATCTTCGCTCCTATCAATGCATGAAGACAACTATGAAACATGAATTTGATTGAGAAAATGTAAAAATCTACGATAGGGGAAATACAAAGAATTTTTAAAAGCTTGATATTCAGGTCAGTCAGCAATCAGAAGACTTACTGATACTGACCCAATCTATCAACCAATAAGAAACAACAAAAAGGTCAACGTTCACGTCACTAGGATAAACAATCAAAATAAATATGGAAACAATGATGAGACTCTCCACACAAGGCCATACGGACAAGCTACTAAGAGGCTGAGGGAGAAAAACCTATAGCTTACTTCTTTCGGAAGTTTATACTGATAATGTTTCCTAGAATGACAATAACGTCTTCACAATAAAACCATCCAGCTTATAGAACACAAAATCATTAAAATCATCCTCCTGAGCTACACATTCAGGTTTTCACTCCAGACTCAGTCATCACCGTACTAAATGTTTAACAGTTATCATAAAAATTTCACTCAACATCTGTATGACAGTTATTTCAAAATAGTTGCCTAAGTATGCATTCAATTTAGTTGGAGGTTTTCAATTTTTTTTAATTGAAATTGATGTTACCATTTATAGAACATATTCCGATAAAAATGTATGATATTACATCATTATTATCATTTTTTTAAAGATTAGAAAAGTTCGATTTACCATCACTAATCACTCGTTTTCTCTTTATCTATAAATTAGTCCAAGATATGTAAGGGCTGGCACATACACGTAAACATATACGCACTCTAATGTACTTTAATTAACTCTTACTATTATAATCCTTCTGCTTTTTTTAAATTGTTCCACTTATTATAGTATTGATTGTCAGACACAGGTCAATCAATAAATGTGTTACTCAACATGAACAGAAGTAAGTAGTATATCAGTAGTTGGTCACATTCTAGTGATAAGAAGAATATTCACCCATTAATGAAACGGACAGATGTAAAAGTGTTATTCATGTCTAACTAGTAAAAAGCCGAATAATATTCACTTAGATTGAACAGCAGATTAAATGTGGTTGATGTGAACGGTCGTAAACCACTTAAGTTAACTGGTAGTGATATCTAGACAGATCGAGATAACAGTTCGATTGTGCCTGACTGGACTGGTTATACCTGAAATGGAATAACTTGTCCTAGAAATGGGTGATCTACTTTATACTATAACTGGTGTCATTATTGCCAGTATAAAAGCTGTAGTGATGTTTAGATTGCCTGTAAAACCATTCACACTAGCCCTTAGTTTATAACCCATTCAGTAGGTGAAGGTAAAATCTTGAAATTTTCTACTGTTAAGCTTATCAACTTGGATACCACCAATTTACCAGCTAGAAATCAACATTTAGTAGTTATAGACATTGACTAGTTTGATATTCGACTGTCACTTCATTACTTTCAAGGTATGTCGAATACTTTGAGATGACAGTGAAATATTTGACACAAGAAAGATGACTCATGAAACTGGTGGATAGAACAAGAGTGATATCAAAGTAGACCAATTTGTGTGAGAGAATAAATAATTTAAAGATAACGGATAGTGAAAATATTCAAGCTTTCGAAGATCTCAAGCAGTGATTACATCTGCATTATTGTGACCGATTTTCGGCAATGTCATCAAGAGTGCTCAGTCACTCATTTCTGTTGTCTCGACGATCCCAACTAGGCAGTCTACATCTCCCAACACGGCTTATGCCAACAGTAAGGGACTCCATTAACAGGTGTCACGTCTTCTTCTGGTCAAGCTGAAGCCTCCACCAACCCAATCTAAATTTCCATAGCATGACACTTCGAGATAGACGGTGGCTGAACATGTGTAGTACATGTCGAAGCTATCTTAGTCGACTAAAATTCATAACCTCATCAATCGACTTGCCTAGTTTCCTCCGCTTGACTTCAATATTTCCCACAGGGTGATGACTTTAAAACTGAATGAAGCAACTTCGAGTCACCGAGTGGGGTGTTACTATTTGCATGCTTTTAGATACACCACGATAATGAGTACAAAGAAATTCAAAACCCAGGTTCGAAACTTAACACCTTACATCAAAATACCGTACATCAGTATCGAGTCCCTTACCTTAATGATCAGATTGTAAAGTCGATCGAAAGATTTCAACTTGACGGGCAGTGCAGTTACGTACTGGTAATTATTTATATAAATATTTGGAATGTTGACATTTCTAATAAAAATTCCTTGTCCTGCAAATAAGTGTGGAAACTTAAAATCAGCACCTAGAACGGATCAAAACTGTGGGGTACTCTGTTGGCACAGAATAGAATAAAGTGCTTTCCACCAGTCATTCTAGAGAAGTGGTCGAAATATAAAATGAGGGAGTTTAGTAACATACAGTTGGTTATAATTTTGACCATGTATACACAATGACTCTTAAATTCGTGAGCAGTTTTTTAAGTAAATAGTAGTGTAACCCAACCAGGTACAAGTTTATGTACTACGTTATGAGGTCACACTGGGTGTGCGAGGCCTCATGATCTCACCTTGTCACTAAGACCGAAATTAGTTCGAGTATGGCTTGAATTCATGACACGTTGCTTGAAAGTTAAGTTCCTAGGTCAGTGAGTCATATATTCTCCTGTTGAGTTTGTTTCGAAAATAAGGTAGCACTAAACAGTTTACGCTCACTGTTTATGCCACACTAAGACTATGCAGGATGTAGTGTATGCGGAACTTAGTCCAGGACATTCATCTTTCTTAGTGACTCCACGCCACCACTCAGTCGCTGGATTGAATTTGAATACAGATTTCTTAGAGTTGTGATGACAATTTATCACCTTTAAGCTGAATCAACCCTGGAAATAGGATATTTTACCCACTGTTGGGACTCAGCGATGACTGCGCTATATTGGGAAGTAACTGAAATGACAAAGTATGAATCATATGATATTTTAACGCTAGGAATGTATGATTATGAATTTCTGTCAAGGATCGGTTGATGGTCGTGGCTTCAATTCATTTAAGGCTTAGGTGCACAGTACTAGAAAGTTCTAAATAACAATTAAACAGTCATTTCATACATTCTGATCATCAACCAGTACACATTTGACTTCAGTCTCCAGTGTTAATGACTCGCAAAGCCGAGAGTATTATATTTATTGTCGAAAGAATATTCAATTTCACAGTGTGTTGCTGAAAAATGTTTATGCGTACAACATGGATTAACAGCGGAAAAGTAGTAACAGAACTCATATTCAGTACTCACATATACTGTGGGCAGGATTCTTCCTGGTAGAATGAATCATGATAAGTGCAACATAGTTCTAATCTAGGAAATAATGGTTGAAAAATGAATGCCGAGACTCTGTAGTTAACGGGTTATATTTCGAAGTGGATACAAGTGATCTGTAATCCTATAATTACGCTTCTGAGCAATAGGAAATAGACTGATTTACTGGGGCTATTAGTTTTTCATTGCTCATTGTACTCGACCGAATCGGACGGTCTCTGTTGGCACACAGGCTCATGTATGCATACGTCGATGTCGACTGAGGATTCACCATCCTGGGTTCGAGCGTCAATGGGAACACCACCACTCATCGGCATACAGATAAGCCTGGCTGACGAGCCTCAAATAGGATGAAATGCATATTATGGATTCCACTGCTAGCCACCACCAAGCAAATTATACCATGGGAAATGGATTTGGTCAAGATAGTTCTATCTTATTATGATATAACAGACTTTTCGGATATCTATGCGTTTATCTGAAACACTGAACAGAGATTTTTATCTTAGTTTCGGTGTTGAAATAACTGAGTGGATAATTAAACAACTTAGTACAATGATGAATCATTGTATCCAACGAGTTTAAACATTTATCTTGCAATCATTCAGCCATAAGGCGCAGTCCATTCTAATTAACTTGTTCTGAGTAATACAGTAGTATTGTAAACTTGTATAGATGCAGTACGCAATACGTTTCTCTTACAACTTAGTGCATAAAGTTGATTGGTTAATTCTTCCGAACATCACTTCTGAAAAGGAACGATGCTCACTGTCGGATACGAGATGAATTAGTTGGTGAGGTTACGAATCTTTTTCCAATTTAGTGATTGGAACAAGTGCCATGTATGAAACGACTTAACGCTTCAGTAATACCGGGAATATTATGAAAGAGACTCAAGGATGATCAGTTTCATAATGCGTGATAGAAAACGGCCTAAATAGAAATCAGCATTCCAAGTCATCAGCCGCTACGGTAGAAGTTTTGGATCTCAACCTTGATTTCATGCTACTGTGTGGGTAGGGAAAATATTATCTGACAACTTTGTGCTTTAAATGACCAATCGAAATGAGTATCCAACTTCTAACCTAGTGGCTTCATTTTCTAAGGAAAAACGGTATATAAGTGATGTTATTGTCAAATAAAGATGTCTTCCTTGCAGTCACAGGCCGGTCATTATCTTCTAACTTTTGCAGCTCAGTGAAGTATGATGTCTAGGGGAAAACAATTGCCGTTTGTATCCAGTCCAAGTATCGCATTAGGTTAATAGCGTTCTAGTACTATGCCGTCAGTAACTTCAACGAATCTAAGCATTAATTAATGCAAGTGATCTATATAAGCTAGAAAACCAAAACAGATCGTTTCAGAATATGGTCATGTGATTTGAAACTGCATAGAATGGATTAGAATCATTCATAATTTATCTAATTATAGGTGTTGAATAACTTCGTTCCGTATATACTTAGCCCCATCTCATTTAGATCCCGGTCTTTTTTAAACTTGATAAGAACTAGCTTTCTTCCAGTTAGAAATATTTCTTTATGATAACTTTATTATCAAGCAGGACGAAATTGTATTTGATAAAACATCATTTATTCCTCTTGTAACGTTGCTCAGTGGTGCTGGGATTACTTGGGAAGGATAAAATACCAGAAGACTCACTGAAGAAGAAATCGATCTGAAGAGTCGAGAGTTGGGTCAAACGACAGCAAATTAGGCAGTACAGTAGCATAACACTAACATAAATAAGTATTATCAAGGCCCAGAAGGAGTAAAGGGTTCTACAATAGGTTTTTCTAACATAGCTTGAGTTTTTGGTCCCGTATACCCAGTGTTACAGGTCTATATCAATCATTAAACGTAAGCTTGTAGAATGAGTTCAGCTTGATCACATAAAATTAAGTGAAAAAAAGAATAGTGAAAAGTTAAAACGTTTTCACAAACAAGTTGTGTTTCTTATCACATGTCCAGTTCCCAACAAGCAGATCGAATAGTGTACACAAAAACACTTCCAAAGGATTTGCTATCAATGTGCTAATATACAACTGTGCCAGGTTCTAAGTAATTGACATCTGTCAGTTAGCCAGTAACAGTATAGCGACTAACATTAGTGCGTAACAGTCCAAGTTACCATATCCCATATCACTAAATCAAGCATGAATCCACAAACATTTAAAAAAAAATAGAGAAATTAAGAAGGCAAACAGAGGTGGTAGGAAGTCATCACAAGCCGCAAGGAGGAATGAGATGATATTAAAATTCATTATGACGATTAGGATGAAGACTGATTCAGAAATATATCACCTAGAGTCTCCAACCACTGGTTTCGGTTGTCAGATGAGCTCGACCTGGAAGTATGCATTTCATTTCATGGTTCAGGATAAAACTAAGAGACTTTACGAATAGATGCCACTGTTAGTTGGTCAACTCCTAATCTTCTGGTCATAATATTATGCAGAAGGTTAGTATGGCAACTAGTCATGTGCAATATATGTCGCTGCTAGCTGGAGTTGACGAATGTTAACAACCTCGTCAACTGACTTGTTTCTTCTGCCTAAAACCAGACGCCTGGCTTCTGTGTCACTAATACAGTGGTCATACGACGAATGGTCTGTGATACATTGTAGTAGTATGCACAAATTACCATAGATTTTCTCCAATCCACGATATGGTATTGCTTCGAAAAATTATGTATTCGACGTGAATGTTGATAGAAAAGACAAAAGAGTTCCGACTTGACAAAATAGCTTTCACTTTCAAAATTTAGCTACGAATTTCAAAACAATTATCATATTTTTATTTATTTGAGTTTACCTTTTAAATACTAGACATCATCTGTTCAAGTGTCAATATCAAACTGCTTCATCATGTTCGAGAATACAAAACGCTATAGAGATTACTAAAATCCTAAAGAAAAGTAATCTGATTTTCATGTCCCTTGGTGACAACACTTCAGGAACTGGTGTTGCAAACTTAAATTTAAACTCATCTTGTTCAAGATGAATATCAGATGCCAGAAATACATCAACTCAAAAAAAGATATTTCGGAGTAGATCTGCCAACTCATGTTCAAATATATTTAACAGTAAAAAGAAAGATTGAAATGGCGTCTTCAAATGCAAATCATAAAATCTTAAGTACAAAAAAGAATAATTTTCTCAATAACCCCTTCACAAAATATCTAAATGCATTTCAACAACAAGAAAAAAACTGTATCTCTTTATAAACACAGAAAAGTATGAAATGCTAAACAGTACACAGGTAATCAAAGTGAATCTTCATTTTCTTTCAAGGCCTCTGTTTTTTGAGAGCTGTTATCGTCATCAACAACTATCTGACCAGAGTAATCATCACCTTCCAAATGAGCATCATCGTCTTCTTCTTCTTCTTCTTCTTCTTCTACTCCTCCGTCATCATCTACATCGTCCACTTCTTCTTCGTCATCGTCGACATTTTCATCGACTTCCGAAGAACTAACGACTGCAACATCAGTGTCTAGGTGTTTCAGATGACTTGTAGACAACGCTGATGATGAAGATGGTGTGTTCTTGATGGAATTATCACTTGTTTTCTCTTCTTCAATCTCACTGTGTAAGCGTTTATTTGTTTTTTTTATGGTTGCTTGTTCACGATACTCTAAATGAAAAGTAACGAGAAAAAGGTCGACTGATCATCATGAATATCAGGAAGCCTCGATATTACTTGAATGTTGATCATGGTAATTTGTTTGCTTGTGGTTAGAAGAAGATTCCGGGACGTACATTTCGACCTATTTGGGACTCGTCAGCCGGATGTAACTGCACACCAATGTGAAGTGATGGTGTTTCTAATGAGACTCGGACTCCATACCTATCGATTCAAACGCCAAGGCGTTATCCACTATGCTACGAAGGCACAATAGCCACTTCTTGTACAACAGGTATTGGTTATTACTATTTGTTGACATACTTGTAATTCTTCGTTGTTTTATTGGATCGAACTGTTCGACCTCTATAGTAGATAACACCTTGGCGTTTGAAACGATGGGCACGAAGTTCGAGTCCCAGTAGGACCAACATTACACCGCACTGGGATGCAGGCACATCCAGCAGACGAGTCCAAAATAAGACGAAACGTGTGTCCTGAATTCTTCTGCTAGCCACAACCAAACAAATCACCATGAACATTAGGTCCTATATTTTCTTCTCAATGAGTTTTGCTACTTATTTTTAGTAAGTAGTACGAATAATTATGAAAAGTTCATTTGCCTAGTGTGCAGCGCGTTTCTTCCTAAATCAATGTGTACCCAAGTGAAGTTCAGAAACCATCAAAATTCATAGGACACAGTGATAAACAGTTAGAAATATCTTATTCAAGAGATGTAAAAGTGTTGATTATGAACAAGAAAAACTTTATGATGATCAACACTAAAAGGGAATCGAGCAGCACCTGATAGAAACGTCAAGACTAATCTACAGATGAGCTGATGATGGAGTTTGACACATTCAAATTAAAAAAACTCTGAGTTGGAAGCTAGTTTTAAATTAATTAACTCGGCTTTATACATTGTTCATTCACACAGCTGATAGATAATCTATACTACTCAGGGCTAGAAAAAGTTGAATAAGAATTGGGCTATGGTTCATTACTAAGTATTCGGTACTCCCAATATTATGCAGTGGCTTCACCAATAGTCAAAGTGTATAACGAAGTAGTTTCGAACCATGAACACAGCGGGTATCTTCGGAAGTTGGAAAACATATCTCACTAAGGTCGACAACATAATGTTAACAGAAGAGAAGGGTTGTATTGTTGCAACACTTAACACAGTGCGCTACAGCTTATACGGAAACATTTATAGCACGAAAAGTCATATTAGTTTAAGCGAAAGACAACACTTTACACAGAAACCATACTTACTACTTAAAAATGTATTTAAAGCTGGTATGAAGTGACCAAATTCCATTTCTTTCAAAGCAGCTAATATATCATTCCCTGTTAGTGTTTTACGCTTAGCTTTTTCACAGTGTACACTAGCCAATGATGTTACATAAAGGATAAATGAACTAGCTGACTTGCTGATAGCTGAACGCGCCTCTCGACTGACTACAGTACGTTCAGGTAACTAAAAGTAAAAAACGAAAAAGAAGAAAATCCACTAGAAACGTATGCAAATTCTTGGTGTTATACCAAAAGGTCTAAAATAGTTGTAACAATACTGTTGGTCTGAGCCCTGTGAGGTAGATGTAGACTGCTTAGTTGAGGACCGAAAGACGAAAAGAATCGGTGGTTCAGAACGCTTGGTTACATGGCAAGAAGTCGGTTACAGTGGTGCAGATTTAATCACTCATTGATATCTTATAAGGTTTAGACGGTTGTATGACCTTTATCTTCATATTGTTAATTCTCTCATACCATTTTATCTACTTCGATATCACTCTTATTCTATCCACTAGGTTTCTGTGTACTGCTGTGAAGTGTGGCAACTTGAGGTGATGCACTTGTGTACGAGGCTCTAGGGTGATTTCGTCAGTCAATCATTTGGATAAGAAGTTGGGATCACGACTTGATTAGATTGAACAATGTCAATTCAATCTTTTGCATTCAGATTAAATCGTTTATTGAATACTGATCAACTACGGTTAGTTTGATTATCTAGATGAAATGAGTGATGCATTTTACCATCTCCCTAATGATTTTTGTTCTCTGCACTGATCATCGTCAATGTGACATTCACTGACTGTAAAATTAATATGCGATGGTTTGATATTGAAAAGTTGTATTCAATAAATAAATAGGTATTCTAACCACTAATGAACAACAAAGTAAATCAAATACAGTGCACTTTTACAACAAGAGCCAACAGGCCTGTCGAACGTTACCAATCATCTTCTAAGCACACTGATGGGTGAATAAAACATGTTACTATTTGCTGTGAGATCATCGATTAATTGTAAATAACCAGTATATAATGGAAAAATAATCTTCAGATCTGTCATACATTTAGTTCCCTTGGAAAGTTTGAACAATACAAGAACAAAGATAATTTCAGAATATAATGAGCTCACTACATTTCATGGCATTTCATCAGCTGCAAACAGCCTACAATTGAAATGAAGTATCAGTAGTAATAATGGCATATTGTTATTATTTGTCCCTAAGGTTCCTAGTGGAACACAGGGCTTCAGTACCACGTCGCCATTTCACTCTCTTCTCTCCAGTCTTCTCAACCTGGCTCCACCACTGCCCATAAACCTTCATTTTTTCCTCACACCATCTCCTACATGTCACCCTCGCCTCGAACGCCCAACTCGTCGTCTCCCAATTGGCTGCAACTCAACGGCCTGGCATGGCGCGTGATGTCCCCAAATAATCTTCTCAGTGTATGCCCAATCCACCTTCTTCTGCATATTTGTTGGACGATGGGTTGTTGATTGGTTCGTTGCCAGCCAGCCAGCCAGCCAGAGTTCCATGTTGCTTATTCTGATTATTCCGGCCATCCTATCTTCATTGTCAGTATCAAGTGACCGTAGGTGGTAGCTGTTGATGAGTGTCTGCAGTTCATTAAAAATGCTTTTCATGATGCACTAAGTCTCAACCATCACATAGAAGCACTGAGTTGACCGACTTAGTGTTGAAAATCTGGATGTTGTTCACGCTTTATGCTGAGTGCAGTGCAGTGCAGTGCAGTGCAGTGTAGTAGATCTGCACACTGATTTCAGGTTAATGCAGGAAGGCCTGTCTTACTGTCTTTCAGATCCTGACTTTGACGTCCTCATCTGTGCCACCACCGCTGCCTGTAGTTGAGACGATGCTGCCTAGGTAGGTGAGAGAGATTGCTTCCTTTAGATTTCTCTCGTTGATGATTGTGATTGGTGCTTGCTGGTGTTGTTGTTGTTGTCGTTGTTTGGGTATGTTCACCACCAGTGTCTTCTCTACGTTCACCTGAGAGAAATTCCCGTCTTCGCTGCTTCGCCTCTTCTCTCAACTTCTTGCTTTTGCCTGTAGATCTTCGAGTTTGTGTGACATGAGATATAAATCATCATCGGAGGCGGAATCCAAATCTCCTTCTGCGGTCTTTTCATCGGTCCACCCAGCCACCCCCAATCTTCTCGCTCCCCACAGTTCATTGCATGATCCAGCCAACTACAATCAGAAAGATCATCGGTGGTAGATAGTTGGCAACCTTGTCTCGCGTCTTGCTGTCTTTACTTCGAATGCATCACTGAGCTTTCCAATGTGAATCACTCGGCATGTAGCATCACATATAGCTGCTGTTGAATGAGGTTGCTGGAGGTTTGTGGGACTAAAACCGTAGTGTTAAAGCAGCTGCCTGCCAAATTACTTCTCGGTCGACGCTGTCGAAAGCCTTTTCAAAATCGATGAAGTTGAGGTAGGCATTACATACTTTACATATGTAGAAATAAATGAAGATTTGAAATCCAAGATTATTCATCACAATCTTAGTCAAAATCGGTGGCAGTTTACATCTCATGAAATAGAAAATTCTGGAACTGTGGAGTGGGGGATGGGGGATAAGAAACAAATGTCAGAGTAAAAGAAGTGCTTGTTAAAGGGTTAGTAGGTTACGTAATTATATGAAAAAAGAGGAAAATCGTTAAATGGTCAATAGGCAGTAAGTAATTAGTGAAGAGATGATCTGACCTATGTACTCATAAAGAGACTGTAATTAGCCTTTGTTTATTTTGGTAACTGTAAATAATTCTTCGCATGTCTGTACATGGTCTTCCTTTTTTGATTGCATCATCTCTTCATGAATCACTTACTGACTGTTGATTACTTAACGATTTTCCAGATTTAGATATAATTACATTGCCTATTGACACTTTAGCAACCACTTCTTTTACTCTGATGTTTGTTTGTTATCCCCCACACCCCACTCCACAGCTCCAGATTTTTCGATCTCTTCAGATATATAAACTACCACCGGATTTGACTAAGATTGTCATTATTAATCCTGGATTTCGAATCTTCATTTATTCCTACATATTTAAAGTATGCATTGATTGGTCATGGGAGAGCAACCAATTTCATGTTGTCTAGTCCTGAGTGCAGACTGAGTCCTATTGATCATATTTTCAATGTGGTCACTGAGCTAGGAGGCTTAGTATCACGGTGACAATTGGTAGATGTCATTTGGTTTGAAGCAATCGGCAGGAAGCCATAGATCTAGGTTTTGTGTTGTTGGCACCTGTCAGCAAGGCATATCTACAACCTCGACAGAACTGATGTTCCATCTGAAGTTCGCAACCGCGTCACCAATGTTATAGTCAACGACTTTACCAGGCGGGACATCAGTTCTATCGAGGTTGCAGGCACGGCTTATGGACGAGTGCCAACAAGAAGGAAACCAAGGTCAAGGGCTTCCTGCCGATCGCCTGCAACCAAATAATATTTAAAGTATGTGTCATTGTTACTACTAAAACTTAGTTTCAATTGTAGGCTGTTTGCAGCTGATGAGGGACTGTGAAATAAAATGAGCTCACTTTATTCTGCAAACGTCTTTGTTCTTGTATAGTTCAAATCTTCATATCATTGAATCAGTGTGTATTTGCACACAATTTTCGTCAATTCTCTGTAGTGTATCATGCTATGAATACGGTAATACAACTGCTAATAAAACGGAGAGCAACTGAATTACAACCGCCTTGAAACGGTAAATAGATTCACAACCAAGCGAAGATAACTGTTTTATTATCATAATATTTCATCAGATAACATCGTTACTCATTTACAAAGTGTGCACACGTTCAGGACAATATCAATTAGAAAAAATCTGTTCAAATAGCCACTATATAACATCAATCAAAGTGCACCATAATCCTAGTTGAGTAATCATATTGAAAAGTGATCCATAGAACTCGATCAGCACTTAGGAGCAGACCACATGAAACTGGTTACTCTACTATGACTAATTCAATGTATCTACTTAACTATCATGATAATAGTAGTGTTGAGCAAAAGGTCACTTAGCAATCAATGATTTCCAGCCGATGAGATTACTTTGACAGTTATACTTTCCAAGTATCCTCCAATCGTAAGTAATGGCAGCAGGAACTCAGTTTATATTCATATTTTAACCAAGAAATCAAATAGGCTTTCATCAATCTTTGTAAATATTGAGGACTCGTTGTTGCGATAATAAACAAAACACTCGATCCTGTGGACGACTAAATGTCTCTCCAGGCAACTACAGAACACAACGCATAGTTACTGGTATGCAGAGATATAGAAAACGCTTAGCAGGAGACTGAAAAATATCAGCATTATTATGGAAGAAAACTTGACACAATGAAATGCCCCATCCGTGTTTTCCAGTGATCCTATGAGCCTTTACATTTATCATACAATATCAGCTGAATAAGGTCTATATAATGAGGGTTAAAGGCTAGCAGTGGAGTCCCGGAGGTGCGTCCCATGCTAGTTGATACTCGTCGGTTGGATGTACCTAGCTCCCAGTGAGCGATATTTTTCCCACTGAGATTCGGATCTCAGACCAATCGCTTCAAACGCCAGAGCGTTACCCACTAAGCCACTGAGTTGCGGTAGCCACTTCTTGTGTAACAAGCATAGTCTTTATGTTGTTACTAGTATTATCCCATCGTTGATTGGACCGAATTGATAGGTCCCCATTGGCATATAGGGTACTGTGGGGATGCCTCAATAGTGCCTGCGTTGCCTGAATTAGGTTTAGTTTGAAAAAAGGTAGATGGTGGATAGGCTAAAACATGGCAACCACTCATAATGTTTTTGACTCTTGGTCTCAGCCATGTTGTAAGGGAATGCAGATGTTCAGATTGGGAGTCAATATGACAACCGAAATCGTTAATTTAAGACTGTGGGTGACGTGACACGAAATTCATCCCAGTGGTGAAGACGCTTACACACATTATCTTCATCTTAATTATCATATCAAATTTCATCATTTCCGTATCCCTGGATTCTTTATTTTTATTAATTTCTACTACGTTTCTTTACTCCTCCCTTATTTCTCTATCTTTCATCTTGAGGCCCTCCATCCTGGTATTCTATGTTCTGATGTGAGGTGTGAAAGTCTGGCGTTACGTAGTAACCTTAGGTTTTATCTTGATACTGACCGACTTTACATAAAACTAAGAAAATATGTTCGAAGTCTGAATAGAGAAAATACAAGAATGACAAATCTGTAGACAACAAACTTACAGAATCACGGATAATCCGAAGAAGTACTGCATTCGGCAGATACAGATCGTCTGCTTTTTCAGCCATTCTACTATAAACAAAGGTAAGTGTAGATTAGAGGTGACGATAAGTGACAACAAACTGAAAGATGATAAGGGACAATCCAATATATCGCCTACAGAATTACCAATATCCTGCTAAGTAATGAATAAGTTTCTAAATAAGTGACTGAACAGATTTTACAGCTATTCGAATTTTATCAGTCAACTGATATTATATGATTCAAAGACCAGAAAACACTTGGCTACATATCACATGTAGTATAGTTAGAATATTTTTGGGTTCATAGTGCAAAACTATATTGATTAAAACCTCAAGAAAGCTATCAGTTATGATGAATCAAGTGGTGGGTAATTTGCAATACATATCAAAATTTCCAACAGGAACTCGCATGTGTGAGTCTCAATGATGCTTGAACAGTCATTTAATTTAACTAGACTGCATACAAAAGATGTGCCTCAGTAACGCACATGCATGTGATTAATGAGTTACGTTGCAGCTCTATAAAACGCCTTTGCTGATGACGACTCCCCAACCGAGAAACTTACAACTACACACAAATGAAACCTTTGGGTAGACCTAATCACTGAAAGAAACGTGAATAACTGAACCCAAGATTTCTGGTTACTAACAGAAATTTGTAGACTAACTATACACCATAGATTGACAGTAAATCATAATCGGTTATCATTTTGACTATCTGAGATAGCTGTAGTTTGCCAGATTAGTATTTACACTGGGTAATGGTCGAAGGTGAAATGAAAATTTGGACCGCGTCCGGATTCAAACTGACCTCGTAGCTCAGTTGGTAGAGTATCGGACCAGAAACCCGGTGGTCGCTGGTTCGAATCCAGCCGCGGTCCATGTTTTCATTTCAACTTCAATCATCATCCAGTATAACCATCGGTTGTTGCGATAACTATCTAACTGGAAAATAAACCACACCTATCGCTCACTGTAGTCAATTTATGAGGCTATTCATTATTTTACTACTTGTAAGTAGGCAAATCCTGTTGCGCAAAACTGATAGAGTTGGATGCAAGTTAGCCATGTCAACCAAAGGACAAAAGTTATTCTCAGAATTGTGTTTGCGAAGTTGTGAAACAGATGCAAAACACTCAGGCATACTAAAAACGATAAGATAGGACAGAGCATAATTCATAAGAAGCATTAGGTTCAAGGGATGTGTCATTTCATACATTCATTGATCACTGGAGGGTAACCAACTTCATGTTGTCTAGTCCTACGTGCTGATGGAATTCTATCATTTTGGAATGTGGTCACCAGGATAGGAGACTCACCGTCACGATGCACTGAGAAAGATGTTACTCAGATGGAGGGAGTGGACAAGAAGTTCTGAACCTAGCTTTCGTCAAACAAGACGTACCTGCAACCTCGAAGGAACCTATGTCCCGCCTAACTACAGCACTGGGTGACGTGGGTCCCAATCTCAGGTGAGACATTATGTCCGTCCAGGTTTCATAAACACCTCACTGACAAGCTACAAAAAGCACGAAACCTAGGTCCAGGGCTCACTGCCTCCATCCAATGGGCATCTCAAAGTATTATTTCAGTTTACCTGTGTGTAATCCTTCCGTAAATGAACAGAGAAGGTTAAAGGCATTTCAACACTAACAAGACTACAGTACCGTTAACATGTGGTATAACTACTTTCAATATCAGACAAAAGATCTCAACTAAAGAACACAAACAGGTGGATTAGGATGTGAACCTCAACCAAAAGCTACCGCTATACATACTGAATCATTGCTGACACCAACATAGGCCCGAAAAAATACGAGTTCATAAATTCTTTTCATTCTAAAGTGAATCTTTTGGGGATATATATATATCGGTGTACTAGGTAGTAGAATTAAGTTGGTGCAGTGTTAAATTAGTTTTGCTGAATACTATAAAAATAGTTAACCTTCTTGGAAGAGTTAGCTGATAATTCGTATTGTATGTGTACTGATTACTTCTTAATTCCCTTTCGTCATTGTACGCATAGTAGTTTCTACTGATGTCATATCATTTCACTACACCACTATTAAAGACCAAACGGGATTCATTCCAATTTATCACACACTCATCTGAGTGGCTTCAGCTATAACATCAGGTTCTATTAAAAGTTATCATGAGAAGCACTTGAATGATTTTTAAAGAAACATATGTTTGTCCAATCTGTCTCGATCTCACAGACTTAAACTGTGGCTGAGCAGTAGTTCGCTCTGTTCCACTAAATGACTAAGGAACATGATCAATAAAGGTGAGGGATATGAAAAAACTCCAGGTATCCGGTCACCGCAGCACTAACCGTATGTCATGGAACCACCACGTCAGAGTGCAGAGGTTAGGCAGACAGTTTAAGAATATGTGTAGCTCAGGTGGTCTTGGTCGTATTGTGTTCTCTGAGCTACGTTGTTTAATCATAAAGCTTTCATCGTCTTTCTAAACGACATCATCAGCACTAACTTCAGTATGAAGTGAGCTGTCAATATCTCTCCATGAGTGATTTATTGGCTTGCTCTGACGATGTGGTCTGTGAATGGTTGTTTCCTTCGATAGTTGAGTCATTGACTGTAGACTTTCCTGTTGGTTGTTCCTCTGCTTGACCTCTAACCTTCCTGTCGTTGATCATTTTTCTTATTGGTTGATAGATTGGATCTACGTCTATACCTCTGTTGATTGCTGGCATATGACAATGACGACAAAAGTCAGATGATGAGAGTATAAAATCACGGACTCAGGTAGCTCATACATATACTGTACATGCCTAGTCACCATCCATCCTCAACATGTCACATTAACTGAAATAGGATTAGTCTAGGAAAAGGTTTCTACCGGACAGACTATGTCGTTTCTTCCTGTTGAACTGTTCCATTTAGAGTAATGTGAGTTTTCAGATTTGGGTGGATATGAAAACAAAAATCAGACGCTGGAGACTTCGGTTGATACAGTCCAAAGTCTATTGCACCCATTTCTCTACTTTATATCCTAACTCACATCTTATATCGTAATTTGCTTACCTACACATCCATTCTCTCATCATGTGCATTCTACCCCTCCGGACTACAGTTCAACAATTTAAGATACCACACCTCACACCAGCATTTCAAAAAGAATGACAAGGGAAAGAGCAATCGCACAAACCAGTCATACGACGAAAAAGTCATATGCATAAGCAGACAAAATAGCGTAAAACCTTTCAGAAAAATGTATCAATTTGAGTTGCAACACTTCATAGCAGCGTGCGAACAACAAAGGAATAAAAAAAGAGTGACATCAAAGTAAACAAAATTGTATCGGGGAAGGAATTTTAAATCCAGATCACTGAAAATGTTCAGACTTTGAAAGATGACAGAGTGAATACATCTGCATCATTTTACACGGTTTTCAGCTATATCACTAAGGGTCTCCAATCATTAGTTACTATTATCCTCAGAACCCCAGCCAAGCAGATTACGTGTCGCTATATATCTCAGATCAGCAGTCAGAGAATACATGGATTGGTATCACCTCTTGGTCTAGCAACCCTGGGGCTTCTTCCAGCCCAATCCTACTTTAGTTAACATTACATGTCGAAGTAGGCAGTGATTCGGCCTGCGCAACACGTGTCCCAAACACTTCAGTCGGTGAGAGTTCATGAACTTATCATCTAACCAGATAGCACGAGTAACTACCTTCACGTATGACTTGGTTTGCACTCTATGTCAAGAACTGACAAAAGTAGGAAGACTGACCCATTGGTTAAGAGATAACGTGCTGGCTGTGGAACCTGAAGGTTTTAGGTTCCATCCTTGGTGAGGCTGGGTTATGGGCGCGCACTGCTGAGGAGTCGCATAATGGGACGAAACAACTATCTAGTGATTCTAGGTCTTCGATACTTTTCTAACTGACGTCAGTTCATGATGAGTACTGAGTGATTGGAGCACGAAATGGTAGCGATTCATGAATTCCTCGACTACTGATTCGAAATGTGACTCAGTAACTCATAAGCTACATCTTATGTACTAGAACTTATGATACCCAACATCTAATTGATATTTAATTAGGACTGTTAGCTGTCTCAAGTGTCCGACTATTTCTGGGTGCAATTATGTACACTCATACCGCGTTTCATTTCATTTTGTAGATAAACTTAATAACACTTTGGTGATACAAAGACGCTTAACAAATTGTTCATTCATCCTAGGTTCAAAATTATACACTAACTACAGTACTACGTTATATGCAAAAGGACTATATTGGGAGACGGTTCTTACACTGTTGAGTATGCTTGTATTCAGTACAATGTAAATACTACTGGCACTTTTCTTCTGATAAATTACGTAAACTTATACTGCCCAATTCTTATTGAGGATTTAAACCTGTCAATGAAGGGATAAAATATATGATTATTGGATCAAGCGACTCGTGACAAATATGAAATATAACTCAGTAACCAGGTCATCATCATCATCATTATCAACATAGGACCAGGCATTACTGCGTAACGGTCCGAGTTGCCACACCTCATATCAGCACATCAAGTAAAAAGGTAGTGAGGTGAAGGATGAAGATAAGTGAATGCAGTCAAAAGAAATATAAAGTATGAGAAGAAAGGAAAGAGGAGTGACAAAATAGTGAGATTCGGTATAGCGTTGTTAAGATGAGGATAATGTGTGTATACATCTGCGCCACTGACTTCGGTTCTGAGCCATATCACCTAGGGTCTCCAACCACTGGTTCCTCTTGTCCCGTGGACCCCAACCACCTAGTCTGCATCGTCCTACATGGCTTAAACCAACAGTCAGAGACTTCATACATTGGTGCCATGTTTTAGTCTGGCCACCTCGGGCCTTTTTCCAGCCTGAACCCACCTCAGCCAACATTGTGTGACGAGGCAATCGGTGACTAGGCATACGTAGTACGTGTCCCAACCATCTCAGTCGATGAAGGTTCACAACCTCGTCGACTGACTTACCTCTTCTCCCTAAAACTCTACACCTAACTTCTGCATTACTCACATGGTGACACCACGGAATACGTCCTATACTACGAAGGCAACGGTGGTCAAATACCTGTAACCTTCTCATGTCTTCCACTTTCAATGGCCATGTTTCACAGCCATACAGTAGAACAGAGCGGACTGCTGTGCAGTACACGCGACCCTTAATAGACAAACGAATATCACGGCGGCGCCATAGGTGGCGCAAATTGGCAAAAGCCAATCGAGCCTTTTGTATCCGTGCAGAAATCTCATCGGCAACTAACCCACCGGAGTTGATCCTACTTCCCAGGTAAGTGAAGTGGTCAACACACTCAACCACTTCACTCTCTATTGTTAACCGCGGTACCGCTGAAGACCAGTCCTGGAGCAAAAATTTGCATTTGGGTGGTGAAAATCGCATCCCAAACATTCTCAAATTCCCACTCAAAGTGTTCAGAAGACTCTGCATCTTGTCAGCGTCTTCACCTAACAGGACTATGTCATCTGCATATTCTAGATCTAAGGAAAATTCACCTGTGGTCCGGTCAACGTCTTTGTAATTAGGTGACGAGAGGGAAACCTCCATAAGAATATCTATGATAAAATTAAATAAGAATGGGGATAGTGGGCATCCTTGACGGACACCACTTGATGAGTATAGCTCCCTGGACAACTCACCATAGGCTCTAACATGCCCACAAGTGTTCGAGTAGAGAGCTTTCAATAAGGTGATGTACTTACTAGGCACGCCTTTCAGTGACAGACACTGCCATAAGACTTCTCGATCAACGGAGTCAAATGCCGCCTTCAGGTCGAGAAATACAGCTATTGTCGGGCGTCTGTAAGCATGCCTATGTTCCAGGACCTGGCGCAGTGTGAATATTTGGTCGATACATCCACGGCCAGGTCTAAAGCCTGCCTGGTTTTCTCGGGCTTGCTGTTCCCGAGCTCCACTCAGGCGTCGGAGAATTATAGAACTTAGGATCTTAGACACTATGTTTGTCAGGCTGATTCCTCTGTGGTTATCACAAGAGGACTTCTCGCCTTTCTTGAAGACTGGGATGATCAGTGACTTAGACCAGTCGGAGGGGATCGTATTTGATTCCCATATACTGGCTAACACTTCCGTTAGCCTGACTAAGAGAACTCTACCACCATTCTTGTATACCTCAGCAGGTAGTCCGTCTGGTCCTGCTGCCCTTCCCGTTTCAGGCTACCTACCGCTTTCTCGACTTCTTCTAGTGTTGGGGGACCTGTCTCTATGTCCCATTCAGGGTCCGACTGGATAGCGGGCAGCGCAATGGTGGCTGGAGGCCAGTTAAACTGTTCCTCAAAGTGTTCTGCCCATCGTCCCAGTCGCCTTCCCTGCGAGTGAATCGCCGATCCGTCCTTCTCCGCTATAACCTCACTAACTGTTGTTGACCATTTCCCCCCAGTCTCCTTAATAAGTCTAAATAACTGTCTACTGTTACCGATCGCCGCTGCCTTTTCCATCTCTTTAGCCTTTGCTGCCCACCACTGTTCACGATCGTTGCGCAGACTTTTCGTCAGTTTATTTTTAAGTTGCGCTCGCTCTTCATTGTACTCAGAGCCTGCAGGGATGCATTCACGTGCATCCATTAGTTTGGAAGAAGCTGCTGATATCCACTGGCTCTTTTTAGCCATTATCTTGGAGTCGGCTACAGTCTCCAGTGCTGCTTTTACAGTAGACTGAAGATGGCACCAAGCTTCTTCTGGATGAGTGACAGTCTTTTGTTCCGATAACTGCCTAGCCAACTTCTCACTGAACACGGCTTTGGTGTTTTCGTTGTCCAGCAGAACTCGTAGTGGTTTTGTTGCCAAATTTTTTCTACGTCCATTGAGACGCAGGCATATACGTGCTCGGACCAACGCATGATCGCTGTCCAAACACGTACTCCAGAAGGAGCGGCAGTCTTCCACCGATCCTCTCCAGCGATGACTAATAGCAATGTGGTCTATCTGTGTCCATCGCTGAGTCGATGGACAATGGCAATGAACTACACCTATCGTGTAAGAACTAATGATACTATCTTGCTATCCAGACGTCAATAAGTGAAGTAGAGATAAAACTAGAGACCGAAAGTTAAGTGCCTAGTTTAATGAATCACAACTGGTGACAAATATCCACTACATTTCCCATTAGTTGGCTTAAAGAAGCAAAACAATCATCTGAAGAAGCTGTTTTAAGGCTTTTGGCTAGTGAAAAAATCTACAGAAATGTAGCTAAGCATAGCTTACACTGGTTTTATTCCCCACTTCCAAAATATCCATTTAGGCTAACAAAAACGAAATGTTACCCTAGAAATTACTGGTTATCACTAATAAGATGAACGATTTGAAAACGATCCATATTTTACACAAATTACTTCAACACATCATGAATGCACACTGAAAATAAATTCAGTAGTATTTAATACTTTTATTTCAATGATTTAAAAAGATTTAATAGTATTCAATAGTAAATATAAGTAGTAATCAGGATATGCGTCCCATTTTACTAAGGATTCATCAGCCAAGAAGTACACTTGTTTTTAAAATGGTATATCCCGTCAGTGATTAAAGTGTATGGAGTTTATCCACCATAATAACGAAGTTTTTATGATCACCGCTTATATCCTGCATATCAACAGGGGGGGAAATAAAAAATACAATATCAAAGAAACGTTTTTTCTTACAAGCTGTAGCCATCGTAACTCTAAGTGGCTTAGTAGATAACATTCTGCATCCAGTAGGGTTGAAGTGAGATAAATAAATAACGTGTTACAGAAAAGAAAAATTAATAGGGAATTCCATTCCTTCGCAGAGTTGTCATGTAGAATAAGTATAGTCAGAAACTCAGTGACATACTTAGTACGAGTTGGATTAGGAAGATATTCAAGTTTACAAATTTACTAACGGACGAACTTTCGTTTTAGGGAGCTTGCCAATCAAGTTTTACAAAATAGTTTTATTCGCAAAATGCCATGTACTAACTACAGGGTGAAGTGGATCAATCAACGCAGGCAGACGTGAGTTAATCAGGTTATCAAAGCATATAAAGACTAATTTATACGAACTATGATCAAGACTACATGCATTGATGCCATGTTACAGTCTGGCAACCCAAAGCCTTTCTCCAGTCTAAATATACTTCGGCCAACATTGCGAGACAAGGCAGACAGTGACTAGGCATACGTAACATATGTCCCAGACATCTCAGTCGGTGAAGGCTTACAACAGCATCAACTATCTGACCTCTCCCCCTAAAACTCTACACAACTTCTGCGTTACTCACTTGGTGACATCACGAAACACGGTCTGTGCTACAAAGGCAACCAGGGTCAAACACCTGAAGCCTTCCGATGACTTCTAATCTTCATGTTTCATACAATAGAACAGAGTAGACTGCAACACAGTACACTCGACCCTTAATAGACAATGGATATCGCGACGGTGCCACAGATGGCGTAAGTTGGAAAAAGCCAGCCGAGCCTTTTGTATTCGTGCAGAGATTTCGTCGACAACTGAGCCAACAGACTTCATCCGACTTCCCAGGCAAGTAGAATGTTCAACGCCTTAAACGGTTATCTGACCACAGTTGTAGTAGGCGATCACCGTTAACTATTCGTTCAGCCGGGATTCTGAAAGTGCCTTCCTGCTTACGTCTACATGAGCACCAATTGGCTATCAAACGTCATGACATTTCGTCATTCATTTCAATGCACGTGGATAATTATGGACATGAATTCAATTTCGACAATGTAGAAATTTTGGACGGAAAGAGGAAACACAGAATATCAGAGAATTCCTAGGAGGTTGGCATTCAGGTCAATCGGCAATCAACAGATGTATAGGCATAGATCCAATCTATCTACCAATAAGAAAAATGATCAACGACAGGAAGGTTAGAGGTCAAGCAGAGGAACAACCAACAGGAAAGTCTACAGTCAATGACTCAACTATCGAAGGAAACAACCATTCACAGACCACATCGTCAGAGCAAGCCAATAAATCACTCATGGAGAGATATTGACAGCTCACTTCATACTGAAGTTAGTGCTGATGATGTCGTTTAGAAAGACGATGAAAGCTTTATGATTAAACAACGTAGCTCAGAGAACACAATACAACCATAACCGCCTAGTTTACATAACTCTAAGAAGGCAAGACCTACAATTTCTATATTCCTGAGGATGGCAGTAAAGCCTACAGGAATGGCTACTATCTGGTTTGAAGTTATCTTCTATTTGTTATCTGAGCACCCGGATAAAAACACAAGATATGAGTTACCGGTCAAAAGTAATGCACACTTGGATAAACTAATTAGGTAATAGTTCACAACCGCATCACTTTCATCGATATTGTAGCTTCACTTAAGACAGAAATACTGTTGACATATGACACATAATATCTAACTTTTTTCTTGTAATCTATCGATAGACAGGCAAATAAAAGAGATTACCAATATATTTTATGAACTGCTAACTTGATAAATATCTTTCAACATTTAGAATACAAAAATAAACACAGAAAAATGGAGAGAGGTAATCAGTCAACGGATCAAGCAAACCAATTAAACGCTGTTGACACTATAACAGCAACAACAACAACAATGATAAAATAGAAGATATAAGAACAATAGCGATGCTTCTCAAAAACAATTTAATGTTTTTCTTTTGCAATAAAACAAATTAAGATTATAAAAGAAAACAATATCATTTTGTGTAATGACATGCATATTTCTTGAAGTGAATCATTACAAGTGTAAACTATTTTAAAAAAAAAGGGTATGTGTATACAAACACAAAATAAGAGCATAGAAACGGAAAAGTAGAACATACGCACATGAACGAACTTGATGAAAATTCTACTCTCCTCGATCACATTAACATCTCATATTGACATTCCAACAAGAGTACAAGGCTGAGAAATAAGGAAGTAGAGACTAACAGACAGACAGATAGAAGAGTAGTTCTAGACTGTTAATCACAAACATGTGTATTTCTGCAGTTAGTTTAGAAAAATAAAAATCTTAAATTATACAGTTAACTAAGTAAGTTGATGAATTTGTACTTTTTCCGATAGTGCTGCTTCAAATAACTAACAGTATCATGGTTGTGAATCTGTGGGTGTTAATGACTTTGGACCATTGAGTGACCATTCAGTTATTATTTTGTCCCACTTCTCATCCATCCACACTCGTTTTAGTTGATACCTTTCTTTTCATTTGTTTAACCGAAGTTATTGCACAACACACACTTATCGGTATTCCAGATTACCTATTTGTGAATGAGGAATGAAGTGTGTATGTGTGGCGATTACCTTTTCTTTCTTGACCTTTATTCCAGATAATCAGTTTTGCTATCTCTCAAAAATCGACAAAATTGACTTTTTTTGGATTTTCGTTGTTGTTCACCTCATTTAAACGAGAAAAAAAATGTAGACGTTTCCAAGTTTTGATGTTATGTACCTCATATGCGTTAATTCAATACACTTCTCAATTGAGAAGTAAGTATTACTGAATGTCCAAATTTCCACTTTCTACTCAGTGTACTGAATTAACTCATGTGAGGTACATAACATCAAAACTTGGAAACGTCTACATTTTTTTCTCGTTTAAATGAGGTGAACAACAACGAAAATCCAAAAAAAGTCAATTTTGTCGATTTTTGAGAGATAGCAAAACTGATTATCTGGAATAAAGGTCAAGAAAGAAAAGGTAATCGCCACACATACACACTTCATTCCTCATTCACAAATAGGTAATCTGGAATACCGATAAGTGTGTGTTGTGCAATAACTTCGGTTAAACAAATGAAAAGAAAGGTATCAACTAAAACGAGTGTGGATGGATGAGAAGTGGGACAAAATAATAACTGAATGGTCACTCAATGGTCCAAAGTCATTAACACCCACAGATTCACAACCATGATACTGTTAGTTATTTGAAGCAGCACTATCGGAAAAAGTACAAATTCATCAACTTACTTAGTTAACTGTATAATTTAAGATTTTTATTTTTCTAAACTAACTGCAGAAATACACATGTTTGTGATTAACAGTCTAGAACTACTCTTCTATCTGTCTGTCTGTTAGTCTCTACTTCCTTATTTCTCAGCCTTGTACTCTTGTTGGAATGTCAATATGAGATGTTAATGTGATCGAGGAGAGTAGAATTTTCATCAAGTTCGTTCATGTGCGTATGTTCTACTTTTCCGTTTCTATGCTCTTATTTTGTGTTTGTATACACACCCTTTTTTTTTTAAATAGTTTACACTTGTAATGATTCACTTTGTGATTAACAGTCTGGATCTACTCGTCTGAAAAAGTACAAATAAGCATGACGATGTGGTGGACATTCACTTTTAGCTACTTTTTCATCATTGAATATTATCCATTCCTGATCACTACCACCACAAATTGGTGAACCAACATGATAAACTGGTGGTTCATGTGGGATACCTTTAGATAGGAAGGATCGTTTTATGTGAGCGACATAATGACCATCCTGAAAAACAAAGTAAAATTTACATTTTCAGACTAACAAAGAAGAGAAAATATTCAATGATCAACAGTAGTGAAATACAAGACATATGTTCAGTTTCTTTCGGCAAATGTCAGTCACATGCACCTACACAACCCAGGTGATGCAGTTGACATATATCCTCTAAATATCCTCTACTGAGTGTGTTAAAGACAGATAAGACCGTCTAGCGTTCGATCCCACCACAGAAATAGTGGGAATAATACACTGGAATCAAATAACTGTTAGTTAACTACTCTATCGAATATATATTGATACTTGTGATTTCACGTTTTTCTACTAGACTGAACTGATTGAACTCTGCTGGGATATGAGTTCCTATGCGAATGCTGCTACTGTAATATGATTGATGGTAACTAACAGTGAAATCTAGAACGGGTTTGTCATCCTACTTGGAACTCGACAGCTGGATGCACCTGAAACCCAGAAAAAAAGGTGATCTCATCTCACTGCTTCAAATGCCAGAGTGATTTACCCGGCTACTGAGTTACGATAATCACTCCTTGTATGGCTGTTTCGTATTAGCACTTGTTATATTCCGTTACTGATTGGTTTGGAGTAAATTGATTGGCCTCTTAATGCATATGAAATCCTGTTATGACACCTCAATATAGTCCGTAATTCCATTTTGATATTTAGTCATAATATTAAACTATGTCAATTGCAAAGATTAGCTCTGATCACTCAGTAACCTAGTAAATAAGGCTTTAGTGTTTACAGCGTTAGATGGCGGTGTTCGAGTCTGTGCGGATATCATCACTCAGATAAATCTAACTGACGAATCTCAATTCTAATGAAATCCACGTCTTGAAGTTCATTGTTAGTCATTACCAAGCGAATTAAAACTCTCCCGAACAGTTTACCAAAAACGGATGCCAATTAGTGATGAAAAATATCTTCAGATTAATGACATGTGAATGAAATTACACATCAGTCGTCGATGGACATGGAATAAACAATTCAAGTTAGTAGCTCTTGTAACTAACACTTCGAAAGTGTCAATATTAGATAGACGCATGTTATTATAATCATGTGAATTGATATGAGTGGATGACTCAGTTGTGTTGATTTCTAGTAAACGTCTTCATCAATTTACTTTCATAGAAAAAATGCAATAATCAACAGGCAATGTTCAAGACTATGTTTTAAACTTTCGCTTTGATTGAATTCTATCGGTTATGCAACATCATTCAACTACCGAGCTAACAAGAAAATGTGGTGAACTCTACTGAATATTCAATATTTAGTGGATACAAACAACAGTCCGAACTTTAATGGATTAGATTGACATAAATTTACACTTTTAAAACTGAATGAACAAGACGACGCCAAGAAATGAAAGTATAAACATGAAAAGTGTAGACGTGGCTCATCGGCGTAAGAATACAGATTTTATACAATGCATTCTGGATTAAGACTTCAGTTTATTTACATCGACCAAGATGTCCAGCGAGTATCATGCGCTATCGAGGAATTAGTGTGGTTCATAACCCAGTATATAAACCTGTATCAGTTTCATTTGCATCTTCAGAATAATGAACACACACACACACACATCAAGCTACTACAGAGAAAAAAGCCATCACCAAAAGAACTGATTGCACAGAGGTATGTAACACAACTGGAAGAAAAAGAAGGTACTTCATCTTACATTGGTTGATTTTCCCATGTGACTGATAAAAGCGAACAGCTCATAAATTGGGCTACCATCTGTAAGTGGTGCTTCTGTAGATGTTTGGTTTGAACTCCTGTTGCTATTTGCATTCATATCAGTTGACATTTGAACTTGTGAACTGACAGAAGCAGAAGCAGCACTAGACAAATTAGACTGTAGCAATAAAGATTCCAATTCATCTGGATTGCTCAATGCCCAATCAGCAGCTTGTTCTAAATTACTATTTGTGTGCTGCAAAGCAACGATTGCCTGAAATGAATATTTAAAAGCTTACAAAACTAAATGCACATAAATATCAACCATCGAGAATAGAACATACGATAATAATAAAAGTCAAGTTTTCGTAGGAATCCAATAATATAATTCTTACAAGAGGTCACAGTAATAGGTAGTATGATCAACATCCATCAGACAAATGAAGCAACTTTACCCCAATTATTGATTTTTCCTAGCCAACATAATCGAAGAAACCAAAAAGAATGGGTGGATTTATGGTTTATCATCTCTTTCTACTGGTGTAAATATTTGTTGGCCTAGTGAATCTGTAGATATGGTTCGCTCATTTCACTAATTGACTTACCTACTTGAAGTGGGATCAATAAAGTGATCTGAATTCTTTGATAATCAAAAAACGATCTTATGAAATCGATAAATAATTCTCAGGTGCAGACAATCTAACACCATTATCACGTTTATACCTATTACTTGTAACTGATATAAATCGATAAAGATCAAAGAGAGAGAAGCAGCCTCTTGAGAATCAAAAGTAAAATCTTGCACATGCAATAGGTAGTACCATTTTTGTTACACAATTATTTACCTCAATAAGTGATTCATTCAAAATAATCAGTCTTATCATTTTCTAAAGCAAAGCGATTCAATTCACCTAAATATCTAAGTATTATTCTTTACGATTCAGATGACTAATCCATCGAGGATACCCTAATAACTCTTTCATAAGATCAAATATACTTGCAAGCATCCAAACAAAGTAGAATTTCCACATTCAACTAGTGAAAGAAACAACACCAAACAAACGTTCTCAAAAACCATGTGCATGTACATGAAAACGAACAACACATATTGTGTGAGGGATGTCTAAACATCGGTAGATGGAGTGGCGTTGAAAGTTTACTGCTTAGACTAATAAATAAATCGCAGCTACCAACTTAAAGAAGTCGATGCGATACAAAGGAGACAAATCTGCACTGCTTACATCACTCTTGCCCAACTGCAGATGAAGCTGACACTAGGTAACAGATTTGAAAACAGAAGGATGATAAGAAAATCTAGACACCTACTATATATGACGCCAACAACCACTGTTATATGGTGTGAACAGGTAGGATAAGGTTCATTTAAATGGAACTGAACACTAGTGATCAAAACAGCTGGTTTCCACATGAGAATAAAGTAATACGGAGCCACACCAAATAGGTTGTGTTAATTCCTGTCTTGTTCGCGTTTACCCCACGTAGCGTTCACCTTGCATCCTTTCTTATATCTTTAGTTTTATACTACTTAGTATTATTGAGTAGTATAACTCACGTTTTACTAGAATGCTAGCTAACCCACAGAGTGACTCCATTACACTAATCGTAAACAGTTCATCACCTAACATCCCAAGATATTAGCACCTTTCCCAGTTCATGGTATTCGGACTCGTTTATATTTCTTCTTGATGTTCTGTCTTACCTTGAATACTTGTTTATTTCGTACCTCTACCTCATAGTTGGAGCAGGTGCATGTTTCATAATCCCTCCCGGTTTGCTTCGGACAAAGTGAAAGGAGGCAGGCTAAATCGAAATCAGCATTTAAGGTCATCAGTCAACAAGGTAAAATTTTGGATTTCAAACTTGGTTTCGTGTTACTGTACGAGCGAAAAACCTTGCTGAACATTTCTATCCTTAAGCTAACCAGTGAAAATAAGTATCCCACTTCTGACATAGTGGCTTCATTTTCTGAGGGAAAACTGAATGTAAAGGATGTGCTTTTGTCAAACATACTTGTTTTTCTTAGAGTCACAAGTCTATGTCTATGTCTTCTGATTTCCGTGGCTCAGTGAAGTATTACGTCTGAGGGAAAACAGGCGTTACTCGTATTCCGTCAAAGCATCGCATCACATTATTATCGTTTCGGGTATTAATTACTACACACTGTAGTCACATATACAACGTTGCTGTCCACACTGTTCACGCCCTGTCGGCAAAGCGTTTTGACATCGATAAACTCACACTTGTCTATCAACACACAATAGTATTTGGTGTACAGCAGGAGAATCCTATGTTCGGTACGGCCTAGAATTTCGAGGAAATAAATTCACAAGTTGTATCAATTTACTGCAATGGACATCTTCACATTTTGTCACATGTCTATGAGCATAACATGGTTTCGATATCGATCAACTGCAATTGTAATATTTTCTTATGAATGGTTCAACAAATGAAATATGAGATTCTAGGAATGATAAGTTGAAAAATACCGCTCCATAAATCCTACACTGTGATCATTTCAACCACAATAACTGTCTCATTTGTCTTGCTATACATACAAAACATACCCAAGCTACATCGGCCAGTAAACGTTCAAAACCTCATTGATTGACTTGTCTTCTTCACCTAGTTCCCTCTGTCTGACCTGGCCACCGCTCACTCAGTAACTCATAGTAGGTTTTTACAAAAGGATAAACCTATTGTTTAGTACAATCAGGTGTTTTATGCTAATTCAACTGATATTGTCCAGTAGCAAAGATAATGACACATGCAGGCAAACATATATCAAAAGATGACTATAAAGCGCGATAACACACTTCAAAAGTGTGACTGTGAAATACAAGTAGTGACTTCTACACAACCGGCTGATCACTCATATTTTTAAAACACAGCATAAATGGTATGAATCAACAAAGAAAGTTGGCCTAATTTTGTAAACTTTAAGATCAATATTTGACCTGATATGATTGAATAAGTTGAGCACTGGATAAATAGTTTATAAAGGAAATATATTCGTAGAATCCTAAAAAAGTAGAGAAATAAATAAGTTTACATTTTACGACCTTGTGCAAGGCATTTTTTGTGAATAAGACCTCTACAAGTTATCACATGTCTAAATAGTAAATGTAGACAAATCCGATCACGTTATTGTTCATCACGCACATCTTCACCTTGAACTCATGGACTATTAATTGATAACGACAACATTTATTTCCGTATTATTATCATATATGAACTACGTGATTTGATTTGTTTCAATTTACTTTTTAAACATGTGATAACTTGTACAGATTTTATTCTCTGAAGAAGTGCTTTCCACGAGTGCTTTCTACCCCAGTGTGATCTTACATACAAATTTGTAGCTCAGAATGACGATGACGGTGGTTTGGCATTCTCTCAGCTTTAATACATTGTCGTGAACTTCGTTAAGAAGTTAGTGTTTAGGATGTCGCCAAACCGCATGGTGATAAAACGTTGATATGAGTTATATGGTTAGTAGTGGAGTGGAAGTATGAAGCGAATGACGAAATCATACACTAGAATTAATAAAGATACATTAATTAATGACAACTAACTGCCTACGCTCGTTACTGAAGATTACATGGCCAGAAAGAATAAGCAAAAAGGAACTCTGGCTGAGAACGAACCAATCAAGAACCTATCGCTCAACAAGCATGCAGAAGGAAGTGGAGATGGATTGGGTGTGCACTGAAAAGACCATTCGGGGTACATCACGAACCAGGCACTCGAGTGGAACCCAGATGGGAAACGACGAGTTGGGTGTCCGAGGCGAGGGTGACATGGAGGAGATCATGTGAGGAAGAAATGAAAGCTTCTGGGCAGTCGTGGAGCCAGGTTCAAAAGATTTCAGAGAACAGAGCGCACTGGAGATGTGTTACTGAAGCCCTATATTCCACTAGGAACCTAAGGGACAAATAATAATAATAATAATAATAATAACAAAACTAGTGCTATACTCTACTGCTGATTCTCAATACACTTATTTTGATTAAGGGTTATCAAATAAATAGTTTAGTGAGTAATATTGAATGATTCCGAAGAAATTGCAGACAGTATGCCCAAAATCTTTACAGATATTCAAAGACACAACTATGATAAGCACCACAAAGAGCGTCAATAACACTAAATACAGCAAGGGTTGTGTTCCAAGACTGAGAAGTAAGTGTACGCATATGTCAATGTAGGGTGTTATAATAATTGACTTCAATTCATGATCAAAACCACTTTGAAATCAACTGATATACAATTTGTATATAAAAGGGGGAAATATTTATACCAACACTTTAATCAAAACTAGTAATGACTAATTTATATGAATAAGCTTTAAAATGAATGACACAGCAAAACTTTACAAACGGGTTTCAACTACAATTTAACAATTGAAGCATAACACTTATTACTATTCAGTTAAGAATTCATGCATAAAATGAATAGAATTAAATAGATCAACAGTAACATCTTTAACAATGATGCTCACTTATGTCAGTTAAAATAGCGGATATAGTGAAACCCACCTCTCTCACCGTTAATTGATGTGCATACTTTAGTGATGAGCACCGTAATGTAATAAACTAATTAAGCACATTATATCAACTGCTTTCATCATTTAAAGTATTCCTACGTTAATTATAGTGTAGTGACTTTTAGTATAACTAAGGGTAATTGCATTACAAGTCAATATCAACTGAAATACATAGGAAAATGAAGGGAAGTCGACTGATAAGGTTGTGAATCTCAGTAGACATGTACCACACATGTCGAGTAACCGCCTACCTCGACATGCTAAGCTAGGGGAGGGTGGATCAGGTTGAAAGATGATTTAGGGTGGAGAAAACTAGGACATGGCACAAGCTCAAAGAGTCTTTTACTGTTGGTCTGAGTAGTGTACGAAGATGTAAACTGCTTGCTTGGTGTCCTCGAGACGACAGGAATCAGCAGTTGAGGACTCTTGGCGACATGAATGAAAATCGATCACAATGGTGCAGATGTATTCCCTCCTCCTTGACATCTTCGAAAGCTTGAAAATTTGCACTATCCGTTATCTTTAAATTGTTTATTCCCTCACAAAAATTGGTCTATTTTGAAATCAGTCTTATCCACCTATCCGCCTATTATTTTCATACTACAATGCAATGTGGCAACTTGAGATGGTGCACTTGTGTGCAATGTTCTACGTTGATTTTCTCAGTTATCAGCATTGACTAAGAGAGTAGATGGGTTATGGATGGGGCTGTAACAATAATTTAGTACTGCGTGATTAATCCTTTAAATAAAACTCAACCATCACATAAATAACCAACTGTAATTACCTGTTGCTTACTAAAGCCCATAGCCATCATCATCTCAATTGAGTTTTCATCAATTCCAGCATCGGATAGAACTTGTGACTTTTGACTGCCTGGTTGGTGTTGTTGCTGTTGTTGACAGACAGTAGGCAAAGGATCATTTAAATCTGGGTCATCCAAATGCTCCATCAGCCAGTTTGTAGCATTTTCAACTCCACTGTTCTGAGTGAAGTTACACGCTTTCTGGACAGCTTCCAAACTGAAACCCATCGAAAGCAGTTGGCTGACAATGTTAGTATCCGGTTGAATTTCATCAACTACCATTTGTTCAGCTATTGGAATCAAGTGATAGGAAACAAATGTCACAAGACAAATAATATAACAGAATGAATAAACAGACAGAGTAAATAAAAACTGATATGTAATGAAATCAGAACCAAAGACCTGTAGAGAACCGATAGTCTTACCGTCTAACCTGGGAGCAATCTAAGTGCTAACCAGATTTTACATTACCTTTACAACCAACCGGTGTTCTGCATATCTACCATATAAATAGGTAGATATCTAACTATTAATTCTTTGTAACATTACCTACTTATTCAATTCGTTGTATTCCAAATCAGAATGAAGCGAATCAGAGACGGAGAGAGGGAATAGGTTAACTGACAGTTCATCAGATTATCTAATTCACTACAACTCAGTGGATATAAGCATAAGATATAGCAATTGCGGTGACCTCAAATAATCTCATTAAGGCCGTGAAAGCGGAAAAAAGGTAGCTTCATTCCGTGAAGTCAATGGTTTAAAGCTTTTGATTTGGTTATCAGCAATGAGCCTCATATATATTTAAATTCATCCCAGCCACATCGAGATTGCGAGCTCAGTTAATCTAGTGGTGTGTGTTGAATCATGCTCACAGCCACTTTGGCCTTTGACCGCGTCTAACAGAGATCACTTACTTCATGTCTACTATTCATTTGCCTTGACTTACATGTGCCTTATAGTTCTTTATGTTGCGTTTATTGGATGTATGGATATATGGTAGCTTGTATCTCTGCATGTTTGTATCCAAGTTCTTCGATAAAAAATGAACTGGTGCACAGTTCTGTTGAAAAATGCTAATCTACATACAATAATATATATATATATATCAGTGATGCTACAGACTAGTAAGTGTTCCCCCCTAGGGTGCTTCAAATCTATCACTAGTTAGAAAATGACAGTGATTAACACAGAAACCTTTCGACTTCACTTGCAACACCTATTGGCTACCAATAAGTTTTGTCTACAACAATCTGAAAACTAATACTCCCTAAGAAACTCATATGTCAATTAGTATTGATGTCAACTCAACTAGATACGTTTTGTTAATAAATGTCCAGCGGAAAGAAATGGCAGTCAAGATCTTAGCACAAACTATCTCCAAGTGATCAAAATGAGAAACAGCGAACGGCTTAGTCTAGTGTTTAATATGCCTATATGCATGGCAACACCCTGTTAGCGTTGGGGATTAGACACCGTAAAACTGACTACTGTCCAGGGAAAGGTAGGTATACTAATTTCGCTGATGTGAAACGGCTGCACTAATAATATCCCTTTACAAATTTCAAGAAATGGGTCACGATGTTTTTTAAACAATTAAAAATGGGCATTGAGTAAGCGCATAAGAAGTCACGTGGATAGAAGCTAGATCAATTGCCTTATGAAATATTACACAGCTAAAAACAGTCATTCAGGTGTGAAAAATTCTCGAAAGGTAAAGAAACAAACGTATCCATTCAACAGGAGCTTACATAGACACATTCCCTAATATTCACAGCTACAACTTACGATTTACTTCTTCTCCAGTTGGCATCAGCTCTTCCCCAGGCATAGGTCTTGGACCACTTGGTGAACGTAAGCTGCTTAAATCGACAAACCACTCAGAATTGTTTTTGCTAGCAACATTTCCACTCCAAGGTGCTGGTTTTAATTCAATCTCTACATCCAACTTCTTTGGTAACCAATCAGCGCCAACGGTAAATCTTCCCACTTGTATACAAAGATAACTTGGAAAATTAGTTAAACGGTTGGAACGAAGTGCATAGGTCTTAGCACCAGGGGGCTGGCTCGCTGGTGTTTTAAAATCAGCGATTTGTTCTGTTTCTCTCCATGCAGATAAACAAGCCTATCAAAACAAATTTTAGTTGAAGTTAAAAGTAGAAAAAAGTTTTTGTGAATAACAAACCTACTAACTACACGTAAGAATGTTATTCTAGTAATACAGACATTCAGTTATCAAGCGCTTCAATATATCCAAGTCAAATTACCGTCCACAAAAAGTTGCAGCATTACATGAATAGTCAAAGTGGCATCTTGAAATTGCTGAATGTAATTCCAGCATTAATAATATGCTTGAAACAGATACTAGTCTAGAATACAGAATGTAAATCTGTAACACAACCTAAAAGTTCTTTCTGCCTTGAGAGTTGTGTTACTCATTATCATTCAGGTTTCAATGAATAAACAAGAGGAAAAATAAAAAGGTCCAATGAATACTAGCACACTGTTATAATTTGTTTGGTCAATGAAAATTCCGCTCCTTAAATCAAAATCGACTGTACAACACAGTAATGTGCAAGAGGAAGTGAAAAAGAAGTAAATCTGCAAGTGTTTCATCCAGTCAGGAAATATCAACCGGGGAACTAACAGCAACGGCCGATAGCTGCTAACTAACATGGCGGTCGAACTTGCTAATCACAATGATCCAATGATATCCACTACTTTAAACACTTGTTCCGTCGAATTTCTACCACATCAAAATGGTCTACAGCATAGTGGTGAGACAGAAAGCAGTTACCGTTGTAGTGTAAACTGCTACACTGTGATAGGGGTTGAGGAAGAAGGCGTACTGCTGCTACCTCGATGAAATGTGACAGCAAATAGGCGTTGCGCCCCAGCATCACCACACCCATGCTGCCTTTCTAGTGGGGAGGGGCAGCGCTAGAAAAAGTCGGTCTTACAAACAGCACACTTTTCACTCCCTACCCCCTCCAATGGTCCTCACGTGACGACAGTGTGGACTTTCTCTCTCCAACCACAGAACAACCAAATCTTAAAACAATAATCCCCAATAACCCATATGTAACAGGCCTCAATAAGATATCATACCGAATCTGCAGTTACACAACTCTTTTCATAAGAAGAAATGCTATTCCATGGTCTGGGCAACCGAGAAGTCTCAACCGTCCACATGCTTCCCCCTCAACTACGTCTTCTCCTTTGCCTTCATAGTCTTATACAAATATTAAGACTCCCTCCCCCTCCTCAATCTCTCACTCTGCGACCATCGACAACCGTCAAAGTCGTCAAAACCTCATTCCTAGTCTTCTAAGACCCCATCCACCATTTCAGCTTGGAGCTTACAACGTCCTAACTCTATGCTAAATCAAACACCAAGCATCGATCACCAGAACTCTGGAATTTCTAGCCCTCTAGCAGTCACATGTTTCTGGTCAGCGTCACACCCAAGCAAAAGAAGAGGCAATGACTCACATGGCCTCCGCCGACATCGAACAAATGACGGACCCAGAAAAATTGATCATAGCTCTATCTGTAGTACCTGTTTCAAATATAATCACGAGCTAGTAAGGGATCATGCATGTCTGCTTCCTAATGGTCGCTGTATCTCTGAATACAAAATTATTCAAGGCCTAATTGAGGCTCAAAAACAGCAGTCTCCAGAAAAGAAGGCTGATCTTACACCTGCACGCCAGGGTGCACAGATCATACTTTCACCTTCCAACAGGTCCTCGAACACATACATACTTACCAGCCAACGCCCGACACCTGCCATCTGTGTCGACCTCAAGGTGGCAATTGACTCAGTCGACCCTGAAATATTGTGTCACTCACTGTATGACTGTGAACGGAGTATCCACTAAGTAGGTAATCCTTATTAAAGCTATCTACCCGAAATCACACACCCCTCTGTTACGCCTTATGCAGAGTTGTCATATGAATCGATGACAACTAGTGGTGACCACCAAGGATGCCCACTGTCACCGTTATTTTCTAACTTCATAATAAATGTCTTGATGGACATAACCCAGTGTACCTGTGATCTCACATGGATTGATTGACCTACTTCCTGGACGTCATCTAGTTCACCTAGAGAACGCAGACAATATTGTCCTTCCTACTAGGTGAAGACACTGACAAAATGTAGGGTCTTGTGACCAGGTCTTGTTGACCAGGAATATGAGTATGTTTGGCATGCGTTTTGCTGGCACCTGTCAAATTTAGCATGCTGCTTCAACACTGGTCTACTCCAAGTACTCTCAGTCTAATGTCAGAGAGTGAAGCGGTGGAATGTGTCGACCACTTCACTTACATGGTAAGTTGCGTCAACCCGAACTGGCTGGTTACTGACAACATTTCATCTCGGATACAGAAGGCAAGTTCGGTATTTGACAACATGAGTAGTCATCTGTAGCCCCGACTGGTGAGACATCTGACCATCTATCAAAGTACGAGTGTGCTGCACTGAAGTCTGTTCTGTCCTGCTATACACATGTGAGACAATGCCGTGGAGAGTAGAAAATATGAATGGACTATATATAGGTTTTTACCATAGATATCTTCATAGCATTATTCACGTTTGGTGGACTCACTATGTCAGCAATGTTGGCGTCAGGTGAAGGGAATCGATTGTTGAGGTTGTGAACTTAGGTCGACTGAGATGGCTTCGACATGTACTGTGCATGTCGAGCAACTGCCTATATCGTCGTCTCATGCTAGGGGAAGTTGGATTAGGTTGTAAGGGCATTCAGGGTGGCCAGATGAAGACCTAACACCAGTGCATGGAGTCCCTGACAGTTTGTCTAAGTCGTGTGAGGAGATGGAGATTGCCTGGTTGGGATCCCGAGGCAAAAAGAATCAGTAGTTGGGGACTCTCGGTCACATGGCGCAGATTTATTCACTCTTTGATGTCTTCTGAAGCTTGAATATCCGCACTAACTTTTATCTTCAGATTGTTTATTCTCTAACACAACTTTGTCTACTTTGACATCCCTCTTTTACTACCCACCTGTTCTTCACACACTACTGTGAAGTGTAGCAACTTGAACCGGTGCACTTTTGTGCGAGGTTCTTGGTTGCTTTTGTTTGTCTGTCTGTTCAAGTCACCGCAGGCATCTGATGAATGATGACGTTGGATCAGCATTAGTATGAGATAAATCCTTGTACAGTAAATCATAGTTCTACATATTTCGTAATGATTACTTGATGAATACGTAAAACTTCATTGACTGTGATAGCTTGTAGTGCTTAACAGTAGAAAATTTCGCTATCAACTTTTATTTACGTAGGTGTCAGGGTAGACATCTTAGATGTGTCATTCAGTGATTATTTTATATTGATTATGTGAGAAAATGTAGATCAGTTACTTATAAAGTAAAAGTAGGCAAAACTTGTGATTTGCAAAATCACTCGGAACTGATTACAATGATGTGGATACAGTCAATATTTTATGCATTTTATACCGCACAAAATAAACTAGTTTTATTTTGCAAATCATTCATATTTAGTTATCAGTAACACTAAATGGTAAAAGCTATCAGATCACATGATCTCAGATGACTCTTCTAACTTACTACATTCAAGATAAAATTATTAAAAAAAAAGTACAAATTAACAATTTTTACTCCAAGACTAATTTCTACAAAGCTAACTCTAATTAGAACGACTATAAATATCCAGAATATTCCAGAACGATAGAATGAACAGAAATGAAATACACATGTTAAGAAGAATGTAATGCTCAGGAAATGAGAAGAAAAAAATGATCCCCTTTGAATAGTTCTTATAGATTATTTACCATTAAACAAAGAATGGGGAACAACAAGATAAGGGAACTACAAATATCGATTATCATTCATCATGGACTGACATCAGTTGGAGAACCATTGAAAACCTGGGAGTATCGGACAGCTGATTCATTCTAGTATGCAAATGAATAGTGAAAACCAGACTTATACGATAACCATATTTATTCAATCCACAGTTGTTAAATGTTTAAATATCATGAGAAAGTAGCCTTCCACTAGTGTTACATGCTTGAAATTATCCTTCACGTGTGCGCACGCTGTATCATAGATAATATGTACTTTCCTCTTAATGTTTCCTACGCCTATCGCAGTCAATAACACTGTCAGTGTTTAAAATGAGCTGCGTTTGATTGTGATTCTTCACCTTATTCTTCACTATACTATGTCAACTAAAGAGTATCAGTCCCTTAGAGATGAAAACCAATGAAACGCGCTTGTAGAATGTGAGATGGGTTCTTCTCTAACACCACTCTCATACGGCTTGAATTTCATCACCGAGTTCTAATCACTTCCCTTACAGTTCAAGAACGCCTCCACAGAAGTGAGAAACAGGAAGAAAATGTACGGTACTCGTTAATAGATTGGTAGGTACAAAGGGTTCATCTGGAACAATCAGAAAACATCGATTCCAAACTAATATTGCACAGGATTTGAGACAGATGAATAAAGTAAGAACCTACTGTGGCTGCCAGAAACCATGAGAAAGAGACACCTAACGACGCTTCACCATATCGCCGATCAGACTTCAAGGGTTAAGAATGGGTCGCTTAAGACAAACATCTGCTTCGGTCTTAGCTTCAGGGCAGTATATACGCTGCCGCACAGTCGAACATGATACAACACCATAATGAAGACTTTAAAATGATTACTTGACTCGTTGTTTACCAATACTTTTTACGTTGCATTTCTGAGTCCCGATTTGACGAGACCATGTGACTCCTATCACATATGGCTCAAAATCAAAACCAGTGGAGATTATGGTGTAGTTCTTTATGTGCCTCTTATCTATGAAAACTGTTAAAAATGCAAAGTTTTTTGAAACGCATTTTTTTGGAACTAACTACCTGTTCGTTTCTCTTCTTATTTTCTTACTTCCCTCCAATTTTTACCTCAAACTGTCGTTATATTAGGTGATGTGGCGCATTTCTCGATACCCGTGTTGTACTTAGTTTACTCTTAAAACAATAGTAGACACGTTCAGTAAGAAGGTTTTACCACTTTACGCTTCCCTAATGACTACATTCAGAGCTCTGTAATAACTCCACTTCTATACCAGGTTCTACGTTGATTTCTCTATTTGGATTTCAAAAAGTTTAGGTTATCCTTACTGTCTATGTTGAAAAATTACTATCACTACGACTATTACTTAGTACAGTGCATCTTAGTATCATAACACAGCTCAATTATTGAAGTATGTCTTTTGCTGATGATATTCAATGATACAGATAAGGATAGATACAGACAAAGACAAATATATTGAGAACCGTTATAGCACCATAATCTACTTATCACTTACTTCGATAGGAATAACTGGTCGTACAACATCTTCAGGAGGCAAGCGTATACCATGTTTTTCAGCTTCAGCGCGTCGTTTCTCATAATCATCTACCTCTTTTTGATTTTTTACGGCTTCCATTGGAACGGGTACAGACAAGATCCATTCATATTCCGTTTTATATGAGACCTATTGTAAAATACAAGAAGTGAATCAGTGGGGAAAAAACAATAATGCAACAGCAGAAAAGATTTAGGTAGATTCTAACGTTTTCAAATTTGTTAACAACGAAATATCGGATAGGACCATTCAACTTTAAATTTAGAAATCTTTAGAGGTACCTAACCAACCAACCAACTCCAGATCTTCAGACGATATGGCGAGAAAGAATCTTGAAATATCACTAATAATTAACTAAGAAATGTCTGTACCGGCTTCCAATCAAAACTGTGTTCTGTGATAAACTTGCATGTAGCAGCACAATGAATGTACCAGTAAATTAATTCCTAATCGAATTAATGTGTTATTTATGAAATACTTCAAGCATATTTTTACCGTTGACGTTATAAGGATCGACTTACGTAAGTTGATATGCCATATTTTCCATAGAGAATATTTATGAATTAGAGTATGCAGAAATAGAACTGTCACGTAGTTGATTTGAAGAATGTGAGTCATGTGCTAGAAAATTGGTATGCGGTGATATTATCGGTATTAGTAATTGGAAGTAGCCCCAATCTGTTCACCATTGCAATAAAAATTTTGTTGAAAGTTATCAAAACAATTTGTGTATGTAAACATAACTGCTTCAAGGATCGTAAAGTCGATACAGATTACTTTAATCGATGTAAGACATATCTAGTTCTGAAAGGACGTACATTCTTATCCAGTAAATAAATGCCAAAATCATTTTTAGTGACCTTGCAGTTAACAATAATGTGAAATCTTAAGCCTAACAGGAACAACAACAAGAATGTTATACCTAATCTTCAGATAAGAAGGTATCAATGGCGTAGGTGCTTACCAGTTTGATTTGTAAAATTCAAACAGGAAGAAACAGAAGTCAAACAATGAAAACCAGTCGTTAAAAAAAATAAAAGAAGCGAAGATATTCAATATTGGGACTTTACAAATTTAGCCAAAGATGAGATGTAGTTACGTCTGCGTGAATAGGATAGATTCCAAGGAATAGTCATTAAACATATACCTGTAATTCCCAATCACCAAGTCTAAACCTCCACACATGACTCAGGGTAACTACTTTTACTATCACTCTAGATAAACAAAACACATGAGGAGATTTTGGACCACAGTGTGCACCAAATGTCGAAGAACCCACACATTATAGGATCCGACCAATTTACCCAATGCTTTGTGTACTCCTCACAAAGTGATTCAATCACATGAAACTGGTACAGACTGACTGACAAATCAATGTTAAACATGGCACAGGAACATCGCCTCGTTAAAAAACTTTACCATAGTACACAAAGAACAAGTGAATAGAAAAGGAGTGATATCAGAGTAGACAAAGTTGTTTGAGAGAATAGATAATCTGAAGACAGTGGGAATATTCAAGCTGCAGATATCAAGGAATGAATACATCAGCAGCAAGGTGACAGATTATCAGCCCCCTTATCAACAGTCCTCAACTACTGGTTCATTTCGTCTCGAAAACCAGAACCACGTAGTCTACATCTGTCCGCACACCTCAGACTAAAATTAACAGCGAGAAAATTCATGAACTAGTGCCACGTCTTAGGCTTTTTCCACTTTGAATACCCATACAACCTAATCCAACTTCCCCTAGCATGAAACAACGATATAGGCAGTTGCTCGACATGCACAGTACATCTCGAAGCCATCTCAGTCGACCTAAGTTCACAACCTCACCAATCGATTCCCTTCACCTGACGCCAACATTGCTGGCATAGTGAGTCCACCAAACGTGAGCAATGCTATGAAGATATCTATGGTAAAAACCTATATATAGTCCATTCATATTTTCTACTCTCCACGGCATTGTCTCACATGTGAATAGCATCTCACTCGACTAAGGTTCACAACTTCAATCGACTTGCTTGTCTCGCCTAGTACCCTTCGTCTGACCCCAACATTGCTCACGCGATGAATCTACCAAATGCAATCAATACTACTATGACACTTGCTATCAAAACCCAGTAATCACTTCGTTTCTTATACTTTTAACCACCATATCTCAGCCGTAAAACACGGCAGAGCGGACTTCAGTGCAGCACACTCGTACTTTGATAGATGGTCAGATGTCTCACCAGTCGGGGCTACAGATGACTACTCATGTTGTCAAATACCGAACTTGCCTTCTGTATCCGAGATGAAATGTTGTCAGTAACCAGCCAGTTCGGGTTGACGCAACTTACCATGTAAGTGAAGTGGTCGACACATTCCACCGCTTCACTCTCTGACATTAGACTGAGAGTACTTGGAGTAGACCAGTGTTGAAGCAGCATGCTAAATTTGACAGGTGCCAGCAAAACGCATGCCAAACATACTCATATTCCTGGTCAACAAGACCTGGTCACAAGACCCTACATTTTGTCAGTGTCTTCACCTAGTAGGAAGGACAATATTGTCTGCGTTCTCTAGGTGAACTAGATGACGTCCAGGGAGTAGGTCAATCAATCCATGTGAGATCACAGGTACACTGGGTTATGTCCATCAAGACATTTATTATGAAGTTAGAAAATAACGGTGACAGTGGGCATCCTTGGTGGTCACCACTAGTTGTCATCGATTCATATGACAACTCTGCATAAGGCGTAACAGAGGGGTGTGTGATTTCGGGTAGATAGCTTTAATAAGGATTACCTACTTAGTGGATACTCCGTTCACAGTCATACAGTGAGTGACACAATATTTCAGGGTCGACTGAGTCAATTGCCACCTTGAGGTCGACACAGATGGCAGGTGTCGGGCGTTGGCTGGTAAGTATGTATGTGTTCGAGGACCTGTTGGAAGGTGAAAGTATGATCTGTGCACCCTGGCGTGCAGGTGTGAGACCAGTCTGGTTTTCTCGGGTTTGTTGTTCTCGACATCCAGTTAGGCGTCGAATAATTGTATCCCAGGATCTTCGACACAATATTAGTCAAGCTAATTCCCCTATGATTTTCATAAGAATTCTCTTCCATATTAAGGACTGGAATAATCAGTGAAGTAGACCAATCTGACGGCACTACATCTGATTCACATGCTCTACATAGTATACTCGTCACTTTAAGCACTGATTCTCTTTACCTCCATCCTTGAAAACGTCGGATGGCAAACTGTCAGGTCTTGCTTCGTTCCATCGTTTCAACTTCGATACAGCCTTCGCAACTTCTAGGAGAGTTGGGGGACGGACATCTGCATCTCATTCAGGTTCAGGCTGGATTTTGGGCACCTGAAGCGTTACTGAGGGCCAGTTGAACTTTGCTTCAGGGTGTTCCTGTCGACATTTTAGCTGCCTGTCGTGGGAGGTTATCAGCATCCCATCCTTTTCGGTGTTTACCTCTCACCATCGCCTCCGTATTGTCGGTATATTTGGTAAGCCTAAATAGTTGGTAGGTGTTACCCAATTCTGATTCCTTCTCCATCTATCTTGCTCTTGCCACCCACCATTGCTCTCGATCGACGAGAAGATTCTTAGTCAACTAACATTTAAGTTGCCTTCGCTTTTCATCGTGGTCATCGTGGCCATTGTGGCCAGCTAGAATCAATCTTCTCGCATCAATCAGTTTGGATGGTGTTGCGGAAATCCGATGACATTTTTTAACGTTGTAGTGTAGGTCACCGCTGTTTTTATAGCAAACTAAATATCACGCCAGGTATCCTCAGGATGAGCATTGCTGTTACGGTCAGATAAATGCGTAGGCGATTCCTTCCTTAATGTATACTTGGCATCTTCATATTCCAATCGAGCATAGATCTGCTTCGGTATGATTTTCCGCCGATCCTCTGTATTTATGGCCTATAAGAATATGATTGGTCCTTCTCGGTCTATCTTTCTTGATGACAGTGGACACCATGTGAGACAGTGTCTCTTTTGCTTGAAGTTAGTTCTGGTCAGAAACAAGTGATTATCGGAAAAAAGTTGCAGCAGACAATCACTGTTGTCGGTTCGTTGGCTTGGGATACGGTATGTACACCAGAATTGTCTGTCAGATTGGCTCAGGTTCCCTGCTAGCCTTAAAGTAACCGGCTACGACTGTATCTGAACGTTTTGCTTTCTGTAGCCATATTGACAGCTTCTAATAGAATTCACCGTTTGCACCATCCGAAATACAGTCAGTGAATGAGTAGGCAGGCGGAGATTGCGAATAGGCATTGTTTGTTCTAACGGTGCTCCCGTGTTCAGACAGCTCCATTCAGTGGAACAGCATATAGACGGCTGTTGACTGGTACCCAGTCGAGAAGTGCACTTTCTGCGCTACAGCACAATGTTATGCCTGGACCATCGAGTTCAGGAAAGCTAGCCATTCGGTTTGCGGAAACTCGTAAGGTGAATTCTGAAGGGTCATTATGATGGGGAGGTGAATTCAAAGGAATAACCACACTTTGGTCCTGTATAGGTGTCTCAGACACAACATGCATCTATGGCTAGAAATTCCAGAATTCTGGTGATCGATACTTGGTGTTTGATTTGGCACAGAGTTAGGACGTTGTAAGCTCCAAGTTGAAATGGTGGGTGGGGTCTTAGAAGACTAGGAATGAGGTTTTGACGACTTTGATGGTTGTCGATGGTCGCAGAGTGAGAGATTGAGGAGGGGGTGGGAGTCTTAATATTTGTATAAGACTATGAAGGCAAAGGAGAAGACGTAGTTGAGGAGGAAGCATGTGGACGGTCGAGACTTCTCGGTTGCCCAGACCATGGAATACCATTTCTTCTTAGGAAAAGAGTTGTGTAACTGCAGATTCGGTATGATATCTTATTGTTCAGATAAATGCTTAGCTAACTCCTCTCTCAATGTGTACTTAGGTTTCTTATCTACCAAACGAGCACAGATCGGCTTTAGCATTTCCTGTTTGCTGCGACCATTAAGGTGCAGACATACATGAGCCCGTATTAGCGCGTGATTGCAGATCAAACTCGTACTCCAGAAAAAGCAGCAACCCTTCAATGATCTTTGCCATCGGCAGGTTATAGCAATATGATCCGTCTGTGTCCATCGTCGGTTTGATGTAGGCGGATGCCATGTGAGACAGTGTCTCCCCTTAAGCCTAGAGTTAGTGCTGGTCAGAAACAAGTGATTATCGGAAAAAGTTGCAACAGGCAATTACTGTTGTCCGTTTGTTGGCATAGGACTCCATAAATGCCCCCAAGATGTCTTTCTCATTGGCTCAGCTTCCCTACAAAACTTTTACAGATTCTCCATCAGTAGCCACGTTTGCAGGTCCTTTAATCCATGAAGTCCCTGGGTGTTGGTCTGAGGCCTGTGAGGGAGATGTAGACCTAGTCAATCAATCTCAACATAGGACCATTACTACACAACGGTTCAAGTGTCCACACCTCATATCAGCACAAGTAACAAAGCAGTAAGATGAAGGATGAAGAACGAAAGATGGAAGAAAAATAGGTCAGAAGAGATAGAAAGCAGTAAAAGAGAAGGAAGAGGAGTGAGAAAATGATGAATTCAGTATAGCGGTCAAGATAAGGATAAAGCATAGATACATCTGTGCCACTGACATAGATTCTGACCCGTATCACCTAGAGTCTCCAACCACTGGTTTATGTTGTCACATGGACACCGACCGACTAGTTTGCATCTCCCAACATGGCCCAGATCAATAATCAAGGAATTCATGCAATGATGCCATGTTTTAGTCTGGTCGTCGTTAGTCTTTCTCCAGCCTGAACATACTTCGGTCAACATTGCGAGATGAGGCAGACATCAGCTGATTATGCGTGACACATGCACCAGCCATCTCAGTCGATTAAAGTTCACAACCTCCCTAAAACTCTACACTTAACTTCTGCGTTACTCACTTCGTGACACCACGAAACACGGTCTGTGCTACGAAGGCAACCAGGGTCAAACACCTGAAGCCGTCTTATGACCTCCAACTTTAATGGCCATGTTTCACAGCCATACAGTAGAACAGAGTGAACTACAGCACAATACACTCGACTCTTGATACACAATCGGATATTGTGTAGGTGCCACAGATGGCATAAGTTGACGAAAGCCAATCGGACCTTTTACATCCTTGAAGAGATTTCGTCGGTTACTGCCCACCGGGCCTGATCTGTCTATCTGTTTGCCTGTCTGTCACATAACTTGACGTGTACCCCATGTTCATAAATTTTAAAACTAGTAGACGGTAACTATATGAGTAAGTCACACAGGAAATCTTCTGAACAAAATAATAATGACTATACGCTTAAAAACAAAGTAACCTCAGGTTTTGTAGAGGTCAGTTTTGCCGTCCTACCAATACTAACTATCCGCTCAAACAGACCAACAGATATTTCGGAAAGCCTTAGCACAAAAACCAGGAAAAGTTATCCAGCAGTTAGTCAGTCAATGAACAGCATTTAGAAAACAAAACAATCGTGAAAGAAACCATGAAGATAGGATAACAACATAAGATTACCTTCTTTGTCAAACCGCACTGTAGGCGCTCCTCCACACCAAAGCGCATAATACTACTTGGATGCGTGTTACCGTACTCCGGATTTTTCGCTTTTTGATCCAAAAGATCCAACAGGTAAACCAAAAATTCACAGGCATCTTGTTGTTGCTTTGTAGCGAAGGTAGAGTTATGTAGTCCCATCAGCCGACGGAAAAGGAGTGGGCGAATACCTATTTTTACGGGTAATATATACATAAGAAAACTAGACCATTGAAATTCTTCAAATGGAAAATATACGATAAGATATATGGAAAAAATGTTTCAAAATGGATCCAAAGATCCTAAAACAAATAACCATTATCGACAATAATCATGCAGAAGAAAGTTAAGTGACATTTCCTGTCCAAAAGAGTAGTCAGGGAATGAGACTTATTTAGATGCACTCATATAACAGATATCATTACCAGTATAGCTTTCGGATATGAAATCCATCAACGCTGTTTATTGAGAAATACCTTGTTCAGCTAATGTGAACAGACTGAAACGTGAAGACAGGATTAAAATGTTTTCCATCAATCTACAAGCTCCAACACATATGAATCTACTGATTTCCATGATTACAGTTGAGGAGTCTAACTTGCGGAATTGTTGTAAACTACAAGTCAAACATACAATCAATACAGATGAAATCCCATATGGAAGTATAAAAATTAACCTGAAATTGCCATCAAACGCTTCTGTAACCGCAGTTGATTCATATAGTCGCATATGTAATCCTGGTGCTTTGGAATACTTAAAAAGTGACAGTGGTGCAGTTAGTCAGTCAAGTCATTATTCACAACCTTCTAGTATGACCTGAATCAATCAGGGAAATTTTAACACCATGTATTAGGATAGTCGAATAATATTGCACGGTAGGTTCCTCCCTTAAGATGTATTGAGCCGTTTCATCTACGAGATGATATTTAATCAAAAATAAGGTAATCATCATCAAGGTATCATTTCATCTAAACTTTCAATAAGACGACAAGTAGAAACAAACAGCTTTAGCCTATGAAACTGCACATGTACTTAGATGTATACGTAATGTACTTCGCCTTGAACATGTGCAGGAAGTCAGGCTTTGTCTAACAACTATATATTTTAGATAACTGTCCCCATTGTAGCAGACCTGATAAATACACCTACAACGATGAAATTCACATAATTCAGACTCTGCTTAGCAAATTACCTAAAATACCGCTTAACCGCACTACAGTGCAGTGACGTTGTCAGACTCAGTTAATATCATCAAACTTAGTAACCAAAAAAAGCATTCACTATATCAGCGATGGAGATATATTACAAGGAATTCTCTCTCCGACATATTAAACACGCATTAACGTTTCTATTTTGCATCATGTAAGTGGATTGAAAAGTCACTTCTCAAGTGAAAAGAACGCATTAAATGATGAAAGCATTTCTACACACAAATATAGATAACAGTGTATATACCGATATACGTAAGTGAAACGGAATGCAGTGGATCAGTTCGTTTAACAGGAATGTACGAATCATATCATCATAGAATGTGATGATGACTTACAGGAGTTGATAATCATGTCCCACTGAAATTTACACGTGCAATCACAATGAAACGTGTTCTACATGGTCTTCATGTCACCTATTAGATGAACACCTACCTACTTATCAGGTAGATGGCTGAATGACATTGGTCAAGGCATCGAACTTTCACCTTATTATAATCACATACACTAAATAGGATTAGCAAAATTCAACCAAATGGAATAGGGGAAAGACAGAATGTCAACTATTAGACATACTCGAAGATGCATTTGAAGTCATTTGCTTAGTTCACACTTTGTTGACTTTTTGAGTTTACACAGACGCGAACATGACAACACAGCATACATACTGATTGATGACTTCAGTAACTGGAAAAAACTGAGATGTGTGTAGCACCCTAAATGATGTGACGTGGCGTGACGTGCGATGCGATGCGATGTTCACAAATGGTATCTTCACCACTACCAGTAATACATATACTCTTCAACTAGTCTCACCACTCATGTGACGCTGGTGGATAGTCCTTTTATGTTGCCTGATGAAGTCGCTTCCTGTATTTCGGTTTGTTTCCATTTGTAAAAGAGAAGTATAAATCTGTAAATTTTAGCTGGCATGTATCTGCTTTAGTACTCATACGTTCAACGACTGAAACCTAATACACTCATTGAACGCAATCGAATCTGAATACAATGCTTCAATATGTTTTATCTTTTGTATATAAATCGACTGATTTGAGAAAAGAATAGCAAGACAAATGAGACAGTTATTGTGGTTGAAATGATCACAGTGTAGGATTTATGGAGCGGTATTTTTCAACTTATCATTCCTAGAATCTCATATTTCATTTGTTGAACCATTCATAAGAAAATATTACAATTGCAGTTGATCGATATCGAAACCATGTTATGCTCACAGCCATGTCAAAATGTACAAATAATGTGTTGAGGTAAATTAATGGAGTCTGGTTGATGTGCATTTGCATTACTTAACTGGTATGTGATTTGGTAGTTGTTAAAGCAAGCTGTCTAGTGCAAGCACTATTCGCATGTGCATCATGGAAGAATGATAGAAAGCGTCATATGTGGGTGTTTAAATTTTTCTATTATCCTTTTGTTTTCAAATCTGTCGCCTAATGTCAAATACACCTGTAGTTGGCGGAAATGACGCCAGCAGTCGAGATTCCTATCAATTTTATTTCATCAATCTGTCAAGGTAACATATCACATTTTCACCTTCAACCTACTGTAGAGGTGAAATAGTGTACCGTTGAGTTAATGAATGAGTCAAACTTCTATCAACCTTAAGTTACATTACCTGAGATCGACGACTAATCTCAATCTTGCATAGTGGGTTACGATTTTGTCATTTACGACTAAGACTATGAAGATAGTAGCAGATATATACAAAGCATAGAGACTATGGTAGATTATAATTTCATTTCGCTTATCACATGAATTACACACTGAAAATACTACTCACTGAATCTAGTCAAAAATCCTGTTTCACTGTATAATACACCTGACAAACAGACGAAAATGGAATAGTGAAAGATAGACACAAACAACACATGACCAACCACTCAAAGTTGCCAAATCCCATATCAGCCCATAGATACACAGAAGCTAACAGGTTGCAAGATAGGGAAATCCAAACAGCAATGAAACAATCCTCAAAAAAGCCACAAAACAAGAAAAGGTGATAACGATAGTAATGTTTACCAAGTTTATAACGTATAAATGACTTCAGTGCATCTGCGCTGCTGTGATAGATGTTCTCAGTCAAATTGCTTAAAACCGCCGATTGTCAATTTCGGTTGTCACCTAGAATGCGACCAGGAAGCACAACTCAAACCAAAAGTTAGTCATACAAAATGACGAACACTAAAAATGATAACTCAATATTTAGGTAGAGAATTAAACTAACCTGGAAGAATTGGAACTGGTCCTTCTGTAGGTTGACCCGCAGTATTTGGAACGAGCCATGAATAAGCACCAGAGCAAAGACCATATCCTAATTTTGAAAACTGTAATCCAATGTGATCCACTGGTAGTAAATGTGACTGACTGCTAGAAGTACACAGACTTAATGCTTCCTCAGACCATATAGGCAACTGATAAGCATAGTATGAACGGAATTGTGGAATCGAAAACAGAACCTGATAATGAGGTCAAACAGAAAAGGAGATTGGATTGCCGTTCAAATGATGGTCTTTTATTGCAGAAAATGTAAATTACACGAAAATGTACCGTAACCAGGAAAACAACATTTACCAATTGGCTCAAAATTGTAATTGTTTAGATGTTAAAACATTTTTTAGAGCACATTTTGACACAAGTATACGTAGGTATTAATAAATGATCTCTACGAATTCGATTCAGCGGTGGGGAAGCTAAGCTAGTTTCGAAGAGAAACTAGTTAGCTATGTTCGAAACTGATGTTACTCATCCTGAAAAGTCTAGCGTCATCTCCAGTTTGCTTTAAAAAACAGGTAACGACCAATGTGCTTACCAGATTCATCTTAATCAACAGATACAAGTGAACGCATTCTTGCAGGCTAAGAACATAATGAGGAGTAGAAGCTCATTAAAAAAATCTATGTAATGACTGTGAGCAGCGGCGGACAGGTAAGACCAAAGAGATGAGACAAATAGTGAAGATGGGCAACAGTAGACAGTTATTTAGATCGACCAAGGAAACAGGCAAAGATGCCAATAAAGTGTAAGAAGATAGGTTTGTGATCCATTCGCAAGGCAGACAGCTCGAACGATGAGGTTAACACTTCATCTGGCTTCCAAATGCTCTTCAGTCGTCCTCTATCTAACAATGAGATAAGGCATCCAACTTTCGCGAAAGTTAAGAAGGATGTGAGCAAACGTGATATAAGGAAAGGCAGGAGACTCCAAGGAGCAAGTTTCAAACCTCGTCGTGGAAACATCGATTAGATTGCCTCTAGTCAGATTTTGGAACACTTTCACAGTTACTGGCACACGACAAAAACAGTATTTGTTTGACCGGTTCGATTCTATCAATTGAGAGGTATTATGACTGTTTGTTTGTTTACTGAAAGAGGTGCTCAACAAATACATAATTTTACCGAAATCTCCCTCTCGAACATTCGTGGATACATTGGAGACTGTGGTGAGGTATCAAGTAAGTTGCCTATGCATCAAGTGGTGACCGTTAAGAATGTCTCCTTTCTCCATTTTTATTCGAAATTCCCAAAATGTTTATAGAAATCTTCTTATCGTTTAACTTTAAAGAGATTGGCCTCATCACAGGAGATTCCTTAGTAGATCTAGAATAGCCAGATGACATGGTCCTGTTAGGTGAAAAAGCTGGCAAGATGTAGAGTGTACTGGACACTAAATTGTAGACTGGTAATGTTTGGGATGGGTTTCTCTCCACCCAGATACAAATAGTTGCTCTAAGACCGGTTCTCCTTGCTACCTGACTTAACATTAGGAAACGAAGTGGTTGAGCGCGTTTACCACTTTACCTACTTGGGAAGTTGGATCAGCCCTGGTGAGCCAATGACGAATGAAATCTATGCGTTTGGCAATCGCCAACTTACGCCACTTGCGGTGCCCTCCGAGATATCTAACTGCTTACTGAGGGTCGAGTGTGCCAGGCAGCAGTATACTCTGAGACATGACTATTAAAGGTAAAAGATATGAGAAGACTGTAGGTGCCCGACCATTGTAGGGATTGGCGGTATCATGGAACCACTACGTTAGTAATGCAAATATTAGACGCCCAACTTTAGGTTGAAGAGGCAAGTCAGTTGATGAGCTTGTGGAGCATCGATTCAGTTGGGAGATACACTGCACATGCTTAGTCACTGTCTGCTGTCAACATGCCATAGGCAGATACAGATAGACAGGTAAATAAACGTAGAACCTCTCACACAAGTACACCGGTTCAACTTGCCACATTTCACAGTCCCATGCAAAGAACAAGCCGACAGAAAAAGACTGATATCGAAAGAGATAATGGTTTATGACACAATAAACAATTTGAAGATAAAGGTTGTTTCAAATATGCAGGCTTTGGAAGACGTCAAAGACTGAGTACATCTGAGCCACTGTGACCAATTTTCAGCCATGTCAACATGTCATATTAACTGAAGTAGGACTATTCAAAGGAAAAGGTTGACAGTGGACAGATTAAAACAGCTTCAGTTCATGGAGTCGATGAGTGTTGGTTTGAGTCACAGATACGAAGGTTGAGAGTGCATGTGACAATGGGAATTAGAGGCCGGAGACTGTACGTGATATGGCTTACAATGGATCACAGGGGTGCAGATACATTTGAAAACCTAACTTTATTCTAACCTCCCCTTTTTCTCTTATGGCTTTCTATATAGTTTTTCGAATGCATTCTTTCTATTTCTCTACCTTTCTCCTGGTTTCATTATATGTCCTGATGTGAAGTGTGACAATTTGGACCGTTATGCAGTTATTTTCAGATCCTATGCTAATATTAACTAATTGATCACAGAAGTTAAAATGACAGGACCATAAAAAATTGACCAGTTGAATATGTTATTGGAAGGATTAAGGAATTGAGTATTTAAGCAAACCAGAAACCAGATGCCCTGACCGATTCGGCTCTTTAAAATAAACCAACTTGTTATTTCGGTATTTGTATTTCCCAATCAGTGTAAAATAATGAATATCGTTTACTCAATGCCCGAATTTTTTCAAACCATCAAACCCCAACCTGGTTTGGATATCTAAAAATAAGTCAACTTGTATTGGTTGGTGAAAAGGTTGAAAACAAATAAATGATACCGTCGTCATCCAAAAACTATTCTCTTCTAAACTGATTAGAAAATGTTTTGACTAGTACGCGCAGTTTCGTTGAAATCACAGGGATTGGAATTGTCAAAAAATCTGTTTTCTTGGAAAATGTCACACATTTAGTCCTCCCAATGAACTTGAACAATGTGATAAAAACAGCACCTGCAGTAATTATTGCTGTTATCCGGAATGTACCTCAGTGCTGATGATGTCGTTTAGCAAGGCGATGAAAGCTTCACGATTAAACAACCCAGCTCAGAGAACACAATACACCCAAGACCTCAGCATGTTCACGCAGTAGACAACAAGCCGCCCTCATTGTGCAAGGGCTAATGACACTGCAGTTCGAACTCATGATTCACTTGGTTGAAAGTTAAGTGCCTAGGTCAGTGAGCCATATTTCCACTGTTTTTAATAAGATATACAAATAATCTGTTTAGCTGCCTGTTAAAGTTTTGGGCTACAAAATAATTTCCCACCAAATATATTACACCAAATTGGCTTTGACCACTCAAATGTCAATATATTGAGGCATATATTCTCGGGCACTTCCGAGACGTTTCCAACCTATTACTTTGCAAGTTAATAATAAAATAACGAGAAAACACCAAGATTGATGTGTGATGAATCCGTAAGCGCGCAACAAAACAGCCGGTACCTAACACTGCAAACTTTTATGCTGGGTATATGAACACTCACCACAAAACTTGGTCATTCCTTTGCACTCGTCTTCGCCTTCAGAAACAACGTGCCAACAGACTAGACTATAACTAAACAATAGCTGGCTGTTACAACTTAATGGCTTAAAATAGTGTTATTCCATCTTAGTCTGTTGATTAGAAATGTCACACGGTGAAACAGTATGATTTACTGGATGACGTTTCGAACATAATTTATTGCCCATATTCATAGCAGGTGGTATGAATATGGACAATAAATTAAGCCGGAAACGTTATCCAATGAATGATATTGTCTCATTGTGTAACATTTCTAATAACCAGACTAAAATTGAATCACAATCTATCAAATTTCACTCCTACATTAATTAAAATATTGTTACCGTCAATATTTTGATGCCAAAATTACTTCACTTGAGAATATTGCACAAGGGGTAAGTTTGTAGAAATATTACTTTAAGAACATTATCTGAATAACTAAACAGCAAACGCCAAGTCGCAAGCGGAAAAAGGTTGTTATGAAAAGGGCCTTAAACACCAAGCTAAAGATAGATGTTTGAATCCGGCATTTCCACTCATTGAGTTTATATGGAAATACACTACTGAATGAAGCCAATACTCTAGAAATAAGCCTCGGTGCTGCAGTTTTGCATGTTGGATAATCGCAAATATGTCAAAACGATAACACGTGAATATACCATCTAAGAGGGGTTAGACAACTACAAAGAACCATTGTTATTTACTTCATAAGCATGAAATAAGTGGGAATGGTCATAAAAAATGGGTTATGGATGTGCTAGCCCGAGATAGTAATACTAAATAGCGAACGTACCTGTACCACGGCATTCAAGTAGCAAGTATTACCCAGATTTCTGAGTCCAGTCATGCCTGGACCATAACGTGCTTCCAGTGGATGATTAGACTCTTGCAATGTAAGCCATTCTCCGAGTCTTTCATTTGCATCCACTTCTAATTCAGCCATTGTCTTCTCTGTTTTCTGCATACGCATCACATCAATACCAAAGTGAGCTAAGTGTTCTCCTAACTTTGGATCGGTCACCATTGAATCTTCCGGATAAGAAAACACTTCACCTCCCTTTAAGAAGTAATGTATTCAAAACCAAAACAGAAATGAATTCAGCCTTAACTTGTCAATTTTGCAAATATTCTGGTAATACAAACTCAATGCTAAACAAGTGGTTTTAGTACCTTCGTATAATTTTAGGCCATTACTACATCTAGATACCAATGTGGGAGGCAGTAGTAACAAAATGTCATCTCCGAAGACGCTAAGTCAAAAGTTAGACTTAAAAAGCTTTACTGTCAATAATAACATTGAATAAGAAACAAAACAATGAGGAAACGTATTTTGAAAAAATGTATGCTTGGGGAAGTAGGGAAAATTCGAAGCTTAGGATTAAGACATTCGGTATTTTGTGAGCTTTGGGTTTCCTTTTTGAACGCTTCGTCACCGGGCTAAGCGGATTCATCTGAACTTACCTTTCAGGGAAGTATGTGCCAAACAAGTAGAATCCATGACTGACTTGGTCAAGGCTAGCAGTGGGATCCAGAAGGTGCGTTTCATCCTATTTGGGAATTGTCAGCTGGATTTACCTGAACCCTAGGCAGTGGTGTTGTCCACACTGAGACTCTAACCCAGTATCACTTGATTCAGACGCCAAAGCGTTATCTACTAGGCCACTGAGGCAAAATAGTCATCTCTTGTACAAAGGGTATTACTTATTATTATTTGTTGATACTTGTAATTCTCTGTTGGTATATAGGCTCCTTTGCAGATGCCTCAATGTTGCCTGAATATTTTTTGCTGTGACCGATGAGTCCTAAATAAAATAAAATGCGCGTCCTAGATCCTACTGCTAGCCACAAACAAGTCAATTATCACAATAGATATTCAGTAAATATCTAGGCATCTGCATAGGAGCCCATAAACCAACAGTGGTCGATCAATTTGATCCTGGATAACAACAACGCATTACAAGTATCAAAAAATTATTAAAATTCATGTTTATCGAACCCATGAGGGTTTCATACGGACTTTTTTTTATTTCCTATTCAGTGTATGGAAATTGGAAACCGAAAAAGCCACATTTTCAGACGATTGCAACAATACTCATAAAATGACATATCTTGGATACTAAGTAGTATTAGGCTTTACTGTCTACAGGAAAAACTATTTAAGGTTACTGCTTCGGTAATCTTTACATATTCTCATAAGAGTAGCACTTTTGACCACCCATCAGCATGTTAATAATGGGATAAAGAAAGTACACCTCATCTTATTTACACCTAGTCTGCATGATGTACCCTTATCTCCGTTTCTTGATGGCAACGTAGTTCAACCAATTCAGGAGACGAGCTCAATGTGAGGGTCACAATAACCTTTTTGATCATTCAAACTCATTCACCTAGTGAGAAATAGTCAATGAGGACAGAAACGTTTATTGAAATATAAGTACTTTAGGTTTGGGATTGCTACGCAAGTTAGCAGCGCCCTTCAGACCTCACGATTATTATCAAACATGACAATCGGGAATAGAGTCTGAAGCGCACTTACAACTTGCTCAGCAATCCCAAAGATCTTGGTCTACAGCTGCTACCTTGATGTGGTGGTTGGGTTTGTATATCAAAATAACTCAGTGACCTAAATTACCTGGAACGCTTGTTCCCTCGAGGTCCTCTACCACACCAGAAAGGTTTGATGCATACTGGTAAGATGGAAAGCAGTTACCGTTGTAGTGTAAACTGCTACACTATGACGAATCCAAAAGCGAAGTCGTACTGCTGCCACCTGGATGAAATGTGATAGCAAATAGGTGTTTCCGTTGGATTACCAGCAGTACCACATTGATGCTGCATTCCAGGTAGGAAGGGAGGGAGCTGGAAAACGGTCTTACAAATAGCACACTATTCACTCCCTACCCCCTCCAATGGTCCTCACGTGACGACAGTGTGGACTTTCTCTCTCCAACCACAGAACAACCAAATCTTAAAACAAATAATCCCCAGTAACCCATATGTAACAGGCCTCAATAAGATATCATACCGAATCTGAAGTCATACAACTCTTTTCCTAAGAAGAAATGCTATTCCATGGTCTGGGCAACCGAGAAGCCTCAACCTCAACTACGTCTTCTCCTTTGCCTTCATCGTCTCATACAAATATTAAGACTCCCACCCCCTCCTCAATCTCTCACTCTGCGACCATCGACAACCATCAAAGTCGTCAAAACCTCATTCCTAGTCTTCTAAGACCCCACCCACCATTTCAACTTGGAGCTTACAACGTCCTAACTCTGTGCCAAATCAAACACCAAGTATCGATCACCAGAATTCTGGAATTTCTAGCCATAGATGCATGTTGTGTCTGAGACACCTATACAGGACCAAAGTGTGGTTATTCCTTTGAATTCACCTCCCCATCATAATGACCCTTCAGAATTCACCTTACGAGTTTCCGCAAACCGAATGGCTAGCTTTCCTGAACTCGATGGTCCAGGCATAACATTGTGCTGTAGCGCAGAAAGTGCACTTCTCGACTGGGTACCAGTCAACAGCCGTCTATATGCTGTTCCACTGAATGGAGCTGTCTGAACACGGGAGCACCGTTAGAACAAACAATGCCTATTCGCAATCTCCGCCTGCCTACTCATTCACTGACTGTATTTCGGATGGTGCAAACGGTGAATTCTATTAGAAGCTGTCAATATGGCTACAGAAAGCAAAACGTTCAGATACAGTCGTAGCCGGTTACTTTAAGGCTAGCAGGGAACCTGAGCCAATCTGACAGACAATTCTGGTGTACATACCGTATCCCAAGCCAACGAACCGACAACAGTGATTGTCTGCTGCAACTTTTTTCCGATAATCACTTGTTTCTGACCAGAACTAACTTCAAGCAAAAGAGACACTGTCTCACATGGTGTCCACTGTCATCAAGAAAGATAGACCGAGAAGGACCAATCATATTCTTATAGGCCATAAATACAGAGGATCGGCGGAAAATCATACCGAAGCAGATCCATGCTTGATTGGAATATGAAGATGCCAAGTATACATTAAGGAAGGAATCGCCTACGCATTTATCTGACCGTAACAGCAATGCTCATCCTGAGGATACCTGGCGTGATATTTAGTTTGCTATAAAAACAGCGGTGACCTACACTACAACGTTAAAAAATGTCATCGGATTTCCGCAACACCATCCAAACTGATTGATGCGAGAAGATTGATTCTAGCTGGCCACAATGGCCACGATGACCACGATGAAAAGCGAAGGCAACTTAAATGTTAGTTGACTAAGAATCTTCTCGTCGATCGAGAGCAATGGTGGGTGGCAAGAGCAAGATAGATGGAGAAGGAATCAGAATTGGGTAACACCTACCAACTATTTAGGCTTACCAAATATACCGACAATACGGAGGCGATGGTGAGAGGTAAACACCGAAAAGGATGGGATGCTGATAACCTCCCACGACAGGCAGCTAAAATGTCGACAGGAACACCCTGAAGCAAAGTTCAACTGGCCCTCAGTAACGCTTCAGGTGCCCAAAATCCAGCCTGAACCTGAATGAGATGCAGATGTCCGTCCCCCAACTCTCCTAGAAGTTGCGAAGGCTGTATCGAAGTTGAAACGATGGAACGAAGCAAGACCTGACAGTTTGCCATCCGACGTTTTCAAGGATGGAGGTAAAGAGAATCAGTGCTTAAAGTGACGAGTATACTATGTAGAGCATGTGAATCAGATGTAGTGCCGTCAGATTGGTCTACTTCACTGATTATTCCAGTCCTTAATATGGAAGAGAATTCTTATGAAAATCATAGGGGAATTAGCTTGACTAATATTGTGTCGAAGATCCTGGGATACAATTATTCGACGCCTAACTGGATGTCGAGAACAACAAACCCGAGAAAACCAGACTGGTCTCACACCTGCACGCCAGGGTGCACAGATCATACTTTCACCTTCCAACAGGTCCTCGAACACATACATACTTACCAGCCAACGCCCGACACCTGCCATGTGTCAACCTCAAGGTGGCAATTGACTCAGTCGACCCTGAAATATTGTGTCACTCACTGTATGACTGTGAACGGAGTATCCATTAGGTAGGTAATCCTTATTAAAGCTGTCTACCCGAAATCACACACCCCTCTGTTACGCCTTATGCAGAGTTGTCATATGAATCGATGACAACTAGTGGTGACCCACCAAGGATGCCCACTGTCACCGTTATTTTCTAACTTCACAATAAATGTCTTGATGGACATAACCCAGTGTACCTGTGATCTCACATGGATTGATTGACCTACTCCCTGGACGTCATCTAGTTCACCTAGAGAACGCAGACAATATTGTCCTTCCTACTAGGTGAAGACACTGACAAAATGTAGGGTCTTGTGACCAGATCTTGTTGACCAGGAATATGAGTATGTTTGGCATGCGTTTTGCTGGCACCTGTCAAATTTAGCATGCTGCTTCAACACTGGTCTACTCCAAGTACTCTCAGTCTAATGTCAGAGAGTGAAGCGGTGGAATGTGTCGACCACTTCACTTACATGATAAGTTGCGTCAACCCGAACTGGCTGGTTACTGACAACATTTCATCTCGGATACAGAAGGCAAGTTCGGTATTTGACAACATGAGTAGTCATCTGTAGCCCCGACTGGTGAGACATCTGACCATCTATCAAAGTACGAGTGTGCTGCACTGAAGTCCGCTCTGCCGTGTTTTACGACTGAGATATGGTGGTTAAAAGTATAAGAAACGAAGTGATTACTGGGTTTTGATAGCAAGTGTCATAGTAGTATTGATTGCATTTGGTAGATTCATCGCGTGAGCAATGTTGGGGTCAGACGAAGGGTACTAGGCGAGACAAGCAAGTCGATTGAAGTTGTGAACCTTAGTCGAGTGAGATGGCTTTTACATGTACTGCACATGTCGAGTAACCGCCTACCTGGAAGTGCAATGGTAGGAGAGTTCGGATTAGGTTGGTAGGGTGGAAAACCCAAGACGTGGCACTAGTTCATGAATTCTGTCACTGTTAGTTGGAAGTGTGCGAGGAGATGTAGACTACGTGGTTGCGGTCCTTGAGATGAAAGGAATCAGTAGTTGAGGACTGTTGGCGAGAGGGCTGATAATTGGTTGTAATGGTGCAGATGTATACACTTCTTGACATTTAAAGCTTAAATATTTGCAATTACCTTTATCTCCAAATTATTTATTCTGTCATACACCATTATCTCCTTCAATATCAGTCCTTTTCTATCCACTTGTTCTTTGCATGGGACTGTAAAATGTGGCAAGTTGGACCGATGCACTTGTGTGAGAAGTTCTACGTTCATTTATCTGTCTGTCTATCATCAAATATTATTACAATGTGACTGTATGTATCATGATGGGAACTAAGCAAAGAACGAATGGGGAAATATAGGTTAATTAAGCAAATTGAAGAGATAAGAGATGGGAGCACGATGGACACTACTGAAATATTTGGACAAATTGTAGTCAGCTGACTAATTAGTAAGATGAGCTAGGCTAAAGCATAAGATTTTATAATGATCTGATACATGAAGGTATTTCTAAAAAAATTGCTGCACTGAGAATAAGCAGCATACAAGGTTCTTTGAATTAGAATACTGCTAACATCTGCAGTGGGACATCGAGTTTCGCTATAATTAACATCAAACAGGTGAGTGTACATGAGACTCCACGCCCTGCCGTTTTGATAGTCAACGCAAATAATAATCACATTACGCTATATGTTTAATTACTAAGCTGCATAATAACCATTATGTATTCACACAACATTAGTGTCCTACCATTCACCAAACTACACACAAAAGTCGTCAATATTTAGCATTTTAGGGATGCTAACCAGAGTTATAAGATAGAACTTAGCTTTCAGGTGCTCTACTTTGTTGTACTTTTATCTAGCTATTACCTTTGGAGTAATCGTCCCAAGTTTTACCGCCAACGGATACTTGGTCGTTTCATAATGCTCCACAGCATGATTATTGCCTCCAGTTCCATCCCAGAATCGTCGACCACACAGAATAGTCCCATCTGTGAGATTCATCCATAAATTATCCTTCAAATCACATCTGGAACATTTCCATCCACTAGAGAAAAAAATGAAAATAATGTGAAGGGTTAAATAGCACTATTCAAGAGGAAATTTCATTTAACTTTGAACACATCTGGATTTCAATAAGATCAAACATTACATCGTGCACTTTCTTTCTGACAAGACAATTCAGAGATGCGAATTGGAAGAAAAACATAACTTAATCACTGTCACTATGTATATAAAATAGGTTCCATGAGTTATAAACATCAGGGAACGTCTGGGTGCTACTTACCCGGTATGTGTTACGGTCAATTTAATGGGTATAGATAATTGAAAGTTTGACAGATTACTATAACTTGCTGGTCATAGCTGATACAAAATTAGCTGTGCCATTCATATGATGGGAGCAATAATTATTTATAATCTTAAGCAGAAATCCTAGTATGTTCGGCATGCGTTTTGCACTTGTCAAATATAAAACAATGTTCCAATACCCGTTTGCAGCCACTCCCAATTTACAGATGAGAAATTGTATTAGCCGAAATCGGTTGGTTGTTGACTAAATCCCAGCCCGGATACCAGAGGCCCATTTGGTAATTGCCGACTTGCGCCATCTCTGACGCCGACTAGTCAGATATCCGAACAGTAAGGCAAAGACTATGTTGCGCTGCAGTCTGCTCTGTTCTATTATACGGTTGTGAAATATGATCGCAGCAACTAGAAGATATGAAGAGATTACAGGTCTTTAGCCATAGGTAGTGTCGCAATGTTTTTTCATGTGAAGGGTAGTAGGGAAAGAAAATAAATCAGTCAATGAAATCCTGAACACTCACCGATTGAGATGGCTTCGACAAGGGTTGCGTATGCCAAGCCACTTCCCACCTCTACGTGCAATACTAGATAAGATTAAAATTGTTTGGGAAAAAGGCTCAGGGTGGCCAGATCAAGACACAGCACCAGTTCATGAAATCTCTGACTTTTGATCTGAGTCATGCCTGGTTGCAGTCCTCGGAACAATAAAAACCAATGGTGGGAGATTCTTGGTGACGAGTGAAAATTAGGTACAATGGTGTAGATGTATTCACTGTTTGACATCTTCGAAAGTTTGAACATTTTTAATAGATTTCATTTTTCTAATTCACTCTCCTCTCATACACCTTTTTTCATTTTAACATCACTTGTTCTTTGCATGCTGATGTGAAGTCTAAACCAGTGCACTTCTGTGTGAGGTTCTACGTTGATTTTTCAATGTCTGCTTGACCAATATTTCCAAACATTGACAAGAGATTAAGAGTAAGTAAAATTAAACTATGAAAAGCTAGCCACAACAATACTTTTAAATCTTGAGTGGTGACAGGGTTGTGAGGAGAGGGTTTGACACTTCCGGGCACCCCTCACCATAGGTTATTTCTTCATGAGGTACTTGGAAAAGGGGGCTAGTGCTTGATTTCAGAGTCCAAGGGATATCTGCTTGAGGCTAGTCACATACGATCTTTTTAGAATTTTGAGATTTCAGCTTTTTAGTTTTGACTCCAACTATGAAGCCGTATTGCCAGCACTGGTATGCCACGGAGTAGAAGGGAGTATGTTGCTTTAAATGCCAACCTTTTCTACCTCCCCCCCCCGCATTCCCATAGGGAAGGCAGCATCAGCATGGTCATTCGCTGGGGACACATTACTGTCATCACATTCCCGTCCAACCAGAAGAACGAATTCGCTTTCGGAGCTCTTTCATAATGTAACTATCTAAATCACAACGGTAACTGCTTTTTGTTTTAACGGTATCCAACTGACCTCTCTGGTATATTAGGACACCAAGAAGACAAGCGTTCTACTAGTATAACTCGTTTGGTCACTGTGATATGTAAGCCCGGTGACTATATCAAGGCAGCAGATATCAGCCGTGCTTTATACACCTACAAAGGAGTATAAATTATCATTAAGTATGCTAGCATGCAAGTTTATGTACGTTGATTCTCCACACATTGCTCATTATTAACTTGGGTGTCGGATTTCTGTGAGCATTATATAGGACAGACTGCAATGCTTGCTGAAAATTATTGATTGGACATATTTACAACCTTGAGAAAACAGTTTCCTTCAGTTGGTCAATATTAACAAGAAAAATGGCAGTACTGCGTAACAGTTCAAGTTGCCTCATCTCATATCAGCATATGAAGGTAAAAGATGGATGTAAGGAAGACAGAAATCAACGGTAGATTATAAAAAGGAAAGCAGAAGAGATAAAATAATAACGAAACTCGGTACGAGGGTTAAGATGAAGTCAATTTGAAGATGCACCTGCACCACTGAGATGTATTCGATCACCTGCAATTTCCGACCACTGATTACCGTTGTTGCGTGAACCCTGACCGGAAAGTATAAATTTTTCGACACAGCCTCGCTATTAAGCCATGCCATTCCCATGTGCTTAGAGCGAGAGGCCCAGATGAAGAAAGTTAAGGATATGCCCAACTACTAGCTGAACCTGGTTAAGGACAAATAATACAGCTAGATGCTAAAATTCGTAATCCAACTGTTTAAAATTCAATGTGTACGCCAACATTGAGGTTGTTTTTTAAATCAATGCTGAATGAAACAAGTAGTTGTCAAAACAATGAGGTAACCGAACGTCACAAGAATGTCTTGCGATTTCCGGTTATTCGAAAAAGTTTAGGTAACCAAGTTATCATCTACAAAAGTAGTATACAACACTAGCTGCAAACTGCGGAAAACTGCTCCTTTTTTTCTTAAGATAATGATCACAAAAACAGGAAATGTTCGAAATATGATGGAAACTATCAGCGTACTGACTCAAATTCGCGAAGTGACATCAACTGTTAGAGTTTACATAATCCGCTCGGAGGTAGATCATCCACGTAAAGATATATTGGTCATACATCTTGACGGCATGTCCTATATCCAGTCAAGCTTTCGGTTTCTTTTTGCAGCGATGTTCGGAAGTGTGACAAACTGAACTAAGACAAGGTTTTAAGCCTGGTAATCTATTCGTTTTCTGCAGCTTTTCCCAGTTTTTATTGCATATCATTTACATATAGCCTTGATGAGGATGATTGGTTACTAGATATGAGCAAAAGAGGCACGGAACTATACCCAAAACAGCTGAAAGATTTGCATCATTATCTTAACTAATAAATAAAACTGTTTTAGGTAAAATGCACTAAATACGGCTGTGAACAGGTGTCGGTGTCTCATAAACCTATCTCTTCAATGCTACACAAAAGAATAAAAGAAGACGTTACCCACAGACGTGATAACACCATTAATCACCATATGGCCTATACACACGCATGAGAAATTAAGCATTATTGACTCGAAAATAACATTCGGATAACATGGTACCTGAAATAAAAAGTAATAGTGATAGAGTTTTGCTGAATGAACGCTATGTATAAATTCTGATCTAAAATATAGTACACTGAAGTAAACTGACAAAATAAGATCAACTCACGATGGAGGTATCCTGACGCCATTATCAATCTGTTTCAGGTTCATTGCGTAAGATGAAATCAAACAAATGTTATCATCCTCCCAAGCCTTAAGTGCGTTAGCACGTTCTTCAGTTATCAGTATTGATTCAGCGCCCTGAATAAACGCAATGGATGTGGCCAGGGACTTTGGAAGTTCAAGAATCTTTAAATGTGATGTGTCAGACGGTGCTTTTCCCGGCTTTGGACTTGGAATCTCGAACGAGTCACCTTGAGGAAGGCGAACCAGAGACCAGTGTTCTGTAACTGAGTAGACATCTTGTGGCAGATCGAATCCCCCATGAACACCAATAGCAAGTTTTGTAGGGCGTTCTTGGATACCAGCACCTACGGAAAAATCAGTGGACAAACTTATTGACTAGGTATAATGAAATTTGAAAGTGAATTTACAGTTCATAAACGGAATACCCACAACAGTACATAATGTCACATGCTTTATTAAGTGACGTTTAAAGGTAATTCAACCCAGCGATTGGATACAGTTTCGATCATATGATGGTGAATGGCGATAACTACCTACCAAAACCAAAATAGTTAGTGGTGAACCTGTAATCTTACGACCCATTCAGTCGGACAGTACACAGATGGCTGTTGACTGGTGTCCAGTAGAGCACTTCGCTCAGGAAATTAGTGCTCTACGTACACCAACGAGACCATGAGGGCTATGAACCTTCAGACACTTGTGAAGTGAGTTTTGCAGACCCGCCACATTCACCAGGTAAATAAACACACTTCGGTTCGGTAAACATGTTTCAGAAACACAGCATAACCGTGACTCAAGATTCCAAAGCTTCGACGGGAGACAGCTGTTGCCAGATTGGACGTTGAAAGTTCCAAAATGAAATTGGCAGCGTAGTTTTAAGAAACTGGGAACGGTTTCTGGTTGGATTGAGTGGCTAGCAATGACTGCAGGGTGAAAGGTTGAGGAAATTGTAAGAAACCTAATATTGGCATAAAGAAGTGAAGATAATGGAAGAGGCAAAGGCAAGAAGAATAGATTACGTCTGATTGGGTTTTGCACAATGCTGAAAGCGTGCAGGTAGTAGGTACTTCTCGGCTGACCACACAGTGGAAGCTTCTACTGCGAAATGCGTGAAGAAAAGGGAGAAGTTTTGCGTGATCACAGAGCTTATAGGACATCTGTTTAAGGCCTGTCACACAAGACTTTCCTAAGATTGTTGAACTGAGAAATGGCCATGTTAATGCCGGGTAAAAAAATCGATACCACTGCTATCGGGGTGCCGCAAGTCAGGGAGTGCGCTACTTTTGGTGCTGATTTTTTCTAGCACCCCACAGGAAAAGCAACATCCGCAGGAATCGCTCATCATTCTTGGAGAACACCGTATTGTCACATTCTGTTGTCAGCAGTGCGACGAACTTGAACTCCTGTCATTACATAGCCATTTACATCAACTGTTTCTTATCTTATTCAACATACCTTCCTGGCATGGTAGGATCTCAAGGAACAAGTGTTTCAGTCAGCCCAGCACATTGGGTTATGATGATATGCAAGTCCAACCACCACGTCAGTATAACAGATATTGGCAAGTGTTTGGAAGTTGACAACGCGAATTAGTCAGGTTTTTAGTTTTATCTATCGAATAAGCCCTATTAACGCATTCATTCAGGCTCAAAGTTGTTAACGACACATGTATAGCCTGGCTAGGCTACACGTGAGCGACGAGTGACTACACTTTGTAGTGTGATGTATCAATCACATGAGTTGGTAAAACTGAGAATATATGAATGAGCATCTACTATGTAAATAATGTAGTGACTACAAGACAGATGTTTTGGAATATAACAAGCCTAAGTTTGATTGGGAACGACTACCTGATCTATGCTTTCCTACACACTTAAATGCAACTGATGGACACTGATATAGTACTGTACCTACAGCTTCAACCAAAGGATGAATATAGAGTTATTTGATTACTAAAATGACCGCAATGCAACTCGGTGTCTATGTAATAGGCTATGCTCATCGAGTGGTGCCCACTGCCTCCATTCTTATTCAATTTTGTCATAGATATTCTTATGGTCTCCCCCTTGTCACCTGATTACACAGACGTTAACATAATCGCGGGAGAATTTTTGTTAGACCTAGGATACGCAGATGACATAATCTTATTAGGTGAAGACTCTGACAAGATGCAGTGTTCTGGATACTTTGAGTGGCAATTTGAGAATATTTGGAATGAGATTCTCATCACCCAAATGCAAATTGTTGCTCAAGGTTTGGTCTTCAAGGGTGCCCCACCGCAGCTAACAATAGAGAGTGTAGTGGTTGAGTGTGCCGACTAATTCACTTACCTGGGAAGTGGGATCAGCCCTGGTGGCTCAGTTGCCGATGAAATCTCTGCACACATACAAAAGGCTCGATTGGCTTTTGCCAACTTCCGCCACCTATGGCGCCGCCGTGAAATCCGATTGTCCATTAAGGTTCAAGTGTATTGTACAGCAGTCTGCTCTGTTCTAATGTGTGGCTGTGAAGCATGGTCGTTAAAGGTGAAAGATATGAGAAGGCTTCAAGCGTTTGACCACCGTTGCCTTCGTAGTATAGGCCGTATTCCGTGGTGTCACCACCTGAGTAATGCATAACTCAGGTGCAGAGTTTTAGGGACAAGAGGTAAATCAGTTGACGAGGTTGTGAACCTTCATCAATTGAGACGGTTGGGACACGTGTTACGTATGCCTAGTCACCGATTGCCTCGTCACACAATGTTGGCTGAAGTTGATCCAGGCTGGAACATGGCGTCAATGTATGACATCTCTGACTTGGTTTGAGCTATGTGGGGCGATGTAGACTATCCGGTCGGGGTCTGCGGGATAAGAGGAACCAGTGGTTAGGGACTCTAGGTGATATGGCTCAGAAACGATGTCAATGGCGCAAATGCATACACACATTATCCTCATCCTAACGACGCTATGCAGAATCTCACCATTTTCTCATCCTTCCTTTCGCTTTTTTCGTACTCTATATTTCTTTTGACTGAATTTTCTTATCGTCTCGCACTTCACTGCCTTTTTACTTGATGCACTGATATGAGCTGTAGCAACTCGGACCGTTACGCCATAATGCCTGGTCCTATGTTGATATTGATGATAACTAGGCTTTTAGTACCATATGAAGACAAGGTGTATGATACTTGTCGGTGGTCTTAATCACAGCAGGTGAGGCAAGGTTTGAAAAAAAATCAATGCCTTGTGAATGTGAACGTATGAGCCGCATCCTCACTAAGCAACTGGGGATTGCAGTGATACATAAGATGCATACAATCAATACGGCTGCAGAGATCAAAAAGCGGAAAGAATCACTGCTCTGCAAGAAAAAACCACTGCAGTAGCTGACAAGACACTCTAGGTTATGAACCTTGGAGCTTATATGTATTTACCAGCATTCGGTTGCGTATTCAGGGCACTTCGATCTTGGAACATAGCAGGTTATGTACCAGGCACTATTTCTATTCCTTAAGAGTTATCAAATCCTGGAACGCTTTTCGTACAGATGTGATCCAGGCTATCTCGTCTGGATCCATTAAACGCCGACTGGATATTTACTTGACATGGGGCTGGGATCTGTTTAGGACTAAATGAATTTTCACATTTTAACCACCACTTTTTCCTTTTTTTACTTGCACACAGGTTAATAACCAAAAGTAGTGATCCACGGATTTTGGACGCGGAAGCCAGTTAAGCGAAAGCTCCCGTTTCGTCAAGAACCATTTTAAATCTCCTGGTAAAAGCATGCTTACATTCAGTGCAGACTTACGTACACGATTATTTAATAGGGAGGTCTAATTTGAGGGAATAAGCAGACCCTACTTGTCAAACCACAATGAGGCGGATTAAATCTGTATTAATGTTTGTGATACCCAGCAACTCAGATAACTGCAGCCTAGTAAAAACATGAGGTCAATGTCAAAAAGTAATTCCAAATTCATTGACTTAAAACCTGTGTTTAGATTAAAACTTACCTTTTTCTTTAAATTGCTTTTCGATTTTGTACCGCAAAAATGCACGGCATCCAGTTTTCTCATGGTAAAGCCTTAATATTTTAGAGCCAACTGCAACGAAATGCCGCATACAGATGTATACACCGTTTTCCATTTCAGGTGTTTCAAAATAGAAAGGACATTCATCTTTAAAAACCTTTTCTTCATTTCTGGGGACTCTCACATGTGAAGCCAAATCCTCAAATATTGAAACAGACATTAGGAGTAGGTCACAAGGATAATCCTTTAGTACCGTCGGTGGATTATGAAGAATTAGTCACGAGCTTGACTGATAAACACACTAAAGCGATTACTGGAAGTGAAACAGAGGCAGTTAGAAGCGAATCGAAACAGCCAAATAAACCTGCTCACAGAAATAAAAACTAACCTCGGATCCAAAACCAAAGAGTTAACTTCGGCACGAAGGAGGTACGAGTGGACGTCCTTGAACCAATAACACCCACGACCTAGTTATAGATGCAACAATGTATAAAAACAAACAATAACAGCTGAAGTAGTAGAAGGTTGGGTCAGACTGGTTACCTTCCTGTAGCAGCTGTTTAACAGCTCGATTTAGAACCAAGGTACCTCTTAGGACCACTAGATTCTTTTGAGATGCCTAATGGCTCACTACCAACATAAGATTCAGATTTGTTGTCTGAAGATAGGGGCCTAAGAGCCTGTATTAATCCTTTTCTGGTAGATTTATGTGCTTTTACAATCCCCTTTTGAACCAGTCAGTCGATGATGTGCACACCACTTCTTCTGGGAGTCCAATATCCAATATCTTTTTAACGAGCTTGTGGGCCGTACGTAAGTCTTACAGAGCTTCAGAAAGAGTTCTGGGGTGAGGGCACCCAGTTGTCTACGCACAAAGTGTAGTACCCCATATGCTTTTGAGACATCACCTGGGTAATTGGAACTGGTGTCCAGTTTCTCTATCACCGTTAAACCCAGATCTTTTTCTACTGTGATATGGGATAGACGTGAACCACGGAGATAGTAGGGATCGGGAGTGCGAAAAAACATGGACCGGCACTTATCCAGGTTGAATGGCAGTTTGTTATTAGTTCACCATTCCTCTAGTGTTTTGAGGTCCTTCTGTAATGCCATAGATTCCGCTTCGCAAGTTATTGCCCTCCATAACTTGACATCATCAGCGTATGGGAGAATCGGGGGGCTGATATGTTGCGGCAGGTCATTAACGAACAGTAGGAACAACAGTGGGTCCAGGATTGCTCCTTGTGAGACACTGGATTGGAAGAGGATGTTCTCCAAGTTGATTAGACCCTGTTGACTTTCGTACAGAACTCCCTGTTGTCTAGGTAGTTCTGCAGCCATGACCGCACCTGGCTGTGAATGCCTAACCCAGCTATCTTATGTATTAGGATCGTGTGTGAGATGGTGTCAAAGACTTTGGCGAAGTCCAGAAAAATTGAGTGGAATGAGACCTTAAGATCCCAGTGATCATGGGCCGTCAGGAGGTTGAAGGCACAGGACCTACCCTTCCGGAAGCCATGTTGAGCGTCGGTGAGTGCTTGCTTCGTGCCCAGATATTCCCTGATACGGTTGTCCATCACACTTTCCATAACTTTAGATATTACTGGTAGAAGTGCTGTGGGCCTATAGCAGTTGGGATTCTATCTCCTCCTTTGAAGATGGGAGAAAGGAAAGCCCGTTTCCACTCTTGTGGGAGGAGTGTTGAAAGAGATTACAGAGTGGGCCACTTAGGGTACTTGCACATTCTTTGAACGCAGATAGGCGGATGTCGTCGCACCCTGGGGATTTCCCGCGCTTAGCTTTAACAGCTTGTCGAGAACAACAGCGCGAGTTATCTGTATTTCGTATAACTCAGCAGCACCGGGTAACGTCGGGGGCTGTTCGTGCAGTTCGTATGCGCACTTTCTCGATGGAATGTTGAGCCGTGTGTCAAATGTGGTGCTCAGCATTTCAGCAATCTCCCATCCAAAGAGGTTTTCTCTGTTCGGACCTTTTATGATGCATGCTGCTTGGCTTGTCGATGTCCTTTCTGCCATGAATCGGTAAAGGATTTTGGGGTTTACCTCAGGCATTTTGGAGAGGTTTGACTGGAACGACCTCCTGTCTCCCGCACCCCTTATGTTGCTTCGATTCCGTAGAGTCGTGTGTGCGTCATGGTCGTCCTGTTCTCTGGAGAGTCTCCATGTGTGCCATGCCCTTCTCTTGGCTTTCAGAAGGCGCCCAGTGCCCCATTTTAGCCGTGACGTTAGCTTTCTGGTTGTTGTTACAGCCAAGGGACGTTTTGCGAGATGGCAGCCTTAATGATATCTTTTATCAGTTCCCAGTGTTGGTCGATCGATAAGGAATACCAATCCGCCGGCCACGAAGTTGTTGAAAGGCTTTTGTTCATACCTTCGTAGTTTGCCTTGTTGTAACATAGGTGGGGGTGAGGTCCCTCCCGTGAAAGTTCACTAATTACCAGGTCGAACATTACTATAGCGTGATCGCTACTTCCAAGAGGGGTTTGTACCCGGACGTTTTCAACCAGTAGGTAATCCAGATTAGATGGTCTGCCATCTGACCTCCAGCGGGCGTTGTCGCCGATTTTTTCCTGCAGTCCAGCCATTTGGATGGCGTTTAGCAGGTTACAGTCCAACTTCCGGCTAGGGGTCGTGCCACCCTCCTGTAGGCTGGGGGTTGGAGTGTTGAAACGTCCAACTATTAAAATCTGGTCGTACCCTATAGTTGACACTGTGGATATTGCTTGGAGTAGTTTTTGGTTGTGTTCCAAGTTGCTCTTAGGGGGCCCATAGATTCCTGCAGCTAGGAATTTGATGTGTTTGACCGTGAAGTGGCACCAGACAGTCTGGGAGCTCTGTCAGTGCCGTGTCAGTGGTTTGTTCACTTCTGAACCACTTGTTCACGTATATTGCAACCCCCTCCGTCCCTGTGATCTCTGTCTCTCCTGAACAGAATCATGTCGTCTATGTTAACTTCGGTGTCAGTAATGTCTGATGACAACCACGTTTCTGTCAGGATCATGATTTTGGGGACGAGGTCGAGACAGAGGAACTGGAGCTCTGGCATTTTATTTCGGAGTCCTCTCAGGTTGCCGTAGAGACGCTTGGAGGTGCTTCTCGTAAAGTGAGATGTCTCTGAATTAACTAGTGGCACTGGTCTGGTCGTGGGGGTTTCTACTGACTGACCAGTTCCAATGGAGCTAGCCCAGTTAAATTTTTTCCCTCATCGACTGGTGCACTCGGTGTTGAGTGGAGGTTGCTGGTCTGACCCTCAACGTTTCGGTCTAGGGTTACGGTGGCCGAAGCACGGAGAGTGACCACTATCTGTTGTTGTCTCAGTGTTCCCAGTCTGCTTTCACAGCAGCGAACTTTACCGCTTACGGTACTCTTGACTATGTACCACTCTCTAGCATTCTAATGAGTACTTCTGGAGATTCGAAGTTGACAGCCATTAGCCTAGGTGAGGTCATGATTGCCAGATGCGAGGGGCGCGGCAGTCTGGTAATTGTCGCAGCCGCAACCCCGCTCAGCTCCATCCGAGCCGACAACCACCCCCATTATTTGTCGTCATGGATGTACTTATCACCTGGGCTACCGGTCACCATTTCAGGTATTCCATGTACGACCATGGTTATGGGTTCAAGTGGACCAGCTGCTTCTCCAGACGTCTTCCTTTACACCCATGATCGGTCGGGTCTAGCTTTAGTGTTGGACAATCTGTTGATGACCAGGGTATGTGACGGTAAGAGGAACCTTTTAGCGTCTCTGGTTGATCCTGGAGTCACTCTCATCCGCAGAGACTTCCCCGCGGGTGAGTGGGTGCCTTGGTATAGTCCACACAGTTTTGCCTTGAGAGCGCCCAGACCTAGCATGGCACAGAGGGAGTCCCACTGCTGCCCGTCAAACTTGTCCTTATGTTCCAGAAGGCTGTCATCACAGACAGGAATGTTAAACAGAATGACAGAGCTAGATCAGTCAGTGATGCTATTGTTATCCTATCCTATGGGTGCGTTTTCAGGAATGATTCGAGTTTTTTTCTCCACCCCGACCCATTCTCTATGTTGTCTGCTGGTTGCTGTTTCTGGTGTGGCTTCAAGGCTTGAGGTGGATGCAGTTGCCGTTGGTGTGGGTAGTCTTTTATTCGGCTTAGAACCTCTCAGGCCTTTGACCTTCAGTATGCCATTGCCAAAATCCTCTGGAGAGTGGTTTGGACGGATACCCGCTTTTTGATTGCTGGAGATTTATTGGTTACTCTCAGTGAGCCTGAAGCTAGGTGCAGTCTCAGGCGGCACTGTGGGCAAATGTACCAAAACCATGTGCACGTGCGGCGCGTCATAAAGCCATAGTACTGATGTGGCATTTCTTTGTCGCATCGGCAGTGCACATATCTGTTGCAGCTGTTGCACTCAAAGGCAGCATCACATTAGCAGCAGTGGGAGCACATATGTGGCAGTTGTCATCGTGTCCATGTGATTTTTCCAAACGTTTATGCCCCACTCTTTGACGTTTCGCCTGGTGGTTCTCACTGGGAGAATGGGGTGGGCGCAGGGAGTAGCATGGGGCTCTGGGTTTACTTGACTAGGTATAGTGACGTTTACAGTGCCGGGAGGACTGGTTGATCGGCTAACTTCGAGTGTTGCAGGCCACGATTGTGACCGTTCGGGTGAGGTGGACCTAGGTGGTGCTTCCGTATCCTCAGTTGCTTTCTTCGCCGCGTTTTGGCGTCTCGTAGATCCAGCCCTGGTTACTACTGAAAATGAAGTGGTCAGTAACTGTGGCGAGATTGTACTCAAAGCATTTCTACTGCTTGCCTTTTTCGGGGTCAGCGCACTTTTGCCAGGCATATTAATATCAATAAACAGATGAAGATAAAAGGAGTAGAGCAATGAAGATGTACAGCAGTAAACAGAAGACTGTCGACCTTACCTTCAATTGTCTGTTCCTGCTACTCTGTCGAAGTTCAAAAACTGCCAAGTCCTGGACGTAGAAGTTAGTGAGATATATTTTGCTGCAGATACAGCAATCTGAGCTATAACAGTTGGTCGAGACAGCTAGACCTACCACACAGTTGTCCATTTGGAGCACAACGGTGGTGATGAAGTAAGCAGTGGTATTTTCCGCGGCAAGATTGTTGCAAAAAGGTTGAATGAGTTGAAAGCTCCCAGTGGATAGTCGCTAATGTGGATTTTGTCGAGATGAATGGGGACGAGCGAAAACACGT